CATATTTGCAAATGGGTGTAAGATTCTACCACGCTTTCCCAGAACACATAAAATCTATTTGATATACAAACATTTCAAACAAATAGTTTCTCACGTCTTCAATAATAGTATATTAAGATACAAGTGTATAATCAAGTCTTTAAAGCACGCGCAACGAGTTTAAGGGCACGACGCAAAGTGGAGTGCCTTTAACGTTGCAAGTGCTTTAAAGACTAATTATACACGTGTATCTTATAGTATTTTTTATTATACCTGCAGTATAATTTAAAAATAGGGAATACAATGAAGTCATATTGACGTTATACTCGAATACGTGTCTAATTAAGTGGGCTGGGTGTTCGTAATTTCACGATTGCCATGGAAATGTCACTTGACGTTTGCTTATAAAAATCATCGTCTTTGTGAATTAAACGATTTCCGTTGAAAAAGATAATACACCGCCCATTAAATCGATTGTTGTAAAATCTAAACAAACGTTGGTAGGTGTAAAATCCAAATCCAGTAAAGCCTATTATAAAGAATATGAAAAGTTGTTTCCATGGATGAATAGGAAGTTACTTACGAATACAGTCTTAAATGCATCCATAATGCTGGCATATATGAAGGAAATGTCAAAGGTATTTAAATCTTCTATATTTTGGTGCATTCATTCAAAACTTTAAAGCAGTGCTGCGATTAAAAAGTGGAACAGATTTGGAAGCATACCCTAAATTACGCGCGTTTGTGAAAGCTTCAACCAAAGGATAGGTACAAAAGCAAAAGAAATGTTCTGCATTTACAGAAAGCGACCTAAGAGGATTTTTTATTTCATCCAGATGACAGTTTCAAAAGTCATACTTGAAGTATCGTTACTTAGCAACTTTAAAGCACGTGTGTTTTAAAGGCCCTTTTTCGCACGCATTTGAGTGTTTAAAACGGAGATTGTGATTCAGGTATAATAAAAAATGGTTTTACATCGTTCGATGAGTTTTATGTCAATGTTGCATGTTAGGTAATAGTTTTTTGTATCAAAGTTTGCTCCTTTAGATATTACTACATGATATCTTACCAATAAATGGAGAGGTTATTGAAATCACTCAACAATTTGGTCTTGAGATTTCACCGGATCTTTACGTTTCCAGGTCCCAAGTCCAAAAAAGTGGTTTTTAAAAAATGTCCGTATGGATAATTGTTCTAAACAAGGTTCAACCGAAACTACCCGACCACTTTGGCTGAAATTTGATGGTATCGAGAGCTGAAAAGCTTTTGCAGGCGATTCGAAAAATGGCAAATGCGTTTTTGGCAATAAAATCGATATCTATTGAATTGCACAACTTTGTTAGGAGTAGATCGAATTGGCTGAAATTTTGTACCAAAGGCCCTGAAAGCTGAAAACTATTGGAAAATGGGAAATGTCCTTTTGGCTATAAAATTTATATTTATTTAATGAGCAACAAAATTTTGATTGAGAGAAGGATGCGGAAATTTTAAGTCACGCGTTAAGAAGCTATCAATGAGTTGATTGTGAAATAAAATTCAGTTGTGGACAAAATAACAGCCGTGCGATTTATTAGCTACACCTACGATTCTTGGATCTTTATTTACTTATTTATCGACTTACTACAAATATGAGAATGTTTGTCTCTTCAAATTTGGAATTTTCTCCAAAATTATACATGTCGAATTCATTTTCACTTTTTAATTACACACTTTTAACTTTTATTCCATTCAGTTGCTCTTCTGATGTCAGTGCTTTTTATCTCGAAAAGATCCACTTTAACGGTTGGCCTCAAACCTTTCATACGGAATACTTTAAAAGTGGTTTGCTTTAAAATTTTAACCACGTGGTTTTATATAAAATTATAGGTTTCAAAAATTAGGGCAAACTAATAGGCTGTTTACATCAATTAATCAATCAAAAATCTGTGCAGATCTTTAATATTGTATGACGTGGAAGGTATGTCTATTACAAACAGTAATGATAAAGAAAAGAATAAACAGAAAAGCGATACGTGCGAGAAACCTATTACTGATGTAACATCAGTTTTTTGAAAACCTATTAATTACATGACGGACAGTCGCATGTAGATATAGGTACACATAACTAATAGATGTTTTGCATTACCAAATTAGAAATAATAGTGAACTCATCTTAGTTTTTGTCACACTATAGTAGGCGTAAACAAATCGATGGAAATTATAATTTTGATCTAAATTTCGTTTCATCGAAACCTATTTAATGTACACACAACTTATACATAGATATCGCATCTGTGATACATTTTTACCGTATGACATGGTTATAGTATGGTGGTACCATTGACTTATCTGTAGTATCACATGCAACAAGACATAAAGAACTCAGTGGTATCAACCACAGTGTCAACCTCGCATCAGAAACTTGTGAATAACATACTTTCACCATAACAAATAGTGGTAACATCTAACATTTTATTAATGTCATTTATAACTTTTCAGATCGAAACAATTAATCAGCTACTAGGAACGGCACTAGATGCGTAAAAAGCCATTTTATATCCGCGTGTACTTGAAATATTTTAAATTTACGGCTTTGATATTACCTCAAGTTGCCGTGCCCGTTGTTTTGTTTAGCAATAAACATTTCAAAATCTGTATATAAACTACTCTGATAGGCCATTTAATNTCTCATAAAGGGAAGAAACAGGGCATTTCCTTTCATCGGTAAGACATGTCATTTATCATGTTGTAGGCGAGGTTGTAGGTACCTAGTTTATGTTTCTTAGTTTTCCAAATGAACCAGTACTTCGAGCAAAATGGTTACCTAACATTTGTAAATATATCTCAAGAAAAGCTCTCGAAATTTGCTTTTGTGCTCACAACGCTTCATTGACTGTGATTTCGACCAATGGTTGCACCGGAAAATGTTCATCAAATATCTCGTCAAATATGCAGTAGGTACTATCAAAACTTGTAATGAACCTGAGATCAACCAATCAATTGTAGCTATTGATCAACACAGTGAATTTAATCAACACAGTGGATTTAATGGGAGTTGTCAAGTTGTAGTGGCTATAGTAAACTGGCCTTAATTATACTAATGGAACACATCGATGTATGTATATTTAGATTTGTAATCAATGATTATATTAAATCTGCATACTTTCCCATCCTTGTCTATTTTGTTTACTTTACCACGAGCATGTATTTTACTCCTTCTAGTTCTATACGTTTTTTTTTGTTATTATTCCTATTAGTGGAAAGAAAATTATATCTCTACGCCATTGAAGTGAGACGCTAATGATAACGGAAGTGGTGGTGGTACTTTAATCACAGTTAGAGGCCACTTTTGGTTCCCGTGGTCTACGATATAGGTACACATAACTAATAGATGTTTTGCATTACCAAATTAGAAATAATAGTGAACTCATCTTAGTTTTTGTCACACTATAGTAGGCGTAAACAAATCGATGGAAATTATAATTTTGATCTAAATTTCGTTTCATCGAAACCTATTTAATGTACACACAACTTATACATAGATATCGCATCTGTGATACATTTTTACCGTATGACATGGTTATAGTATGGTGGTACCATTGACTTATCTGTAGTATCACATGCAACAAGACATAAAGAACTCAGTGGTATCAACCACAGTGTCAACCTCGCATCAGAAACTTGTGAATAACATACTTTCACCATAACAAATAGTGGTAACATCTAACATTTTATTAATGTCATTTATAACTTTTCAGATCGAAACAATTAATCAGCTACTAGGAACGGCACTAGATGCGTAAAAAGCCATTTTATATCCGCGTGTACTTGAAATATTTTAAATTTACGGCTTTGATATTACCTCAAGTTGCCGTGCCCGTTGTTTTGTTTAGCAATAAACATTTCAAAATCTGTATATAAACTACTCTGATAGGCCATTTAATTTATCTTTCTGATGTCAACTATGTTTTAGCAGAGGACAACAAATTTATTCATCAATAAGTGGCACAAAAACCTGAACTTTTCACCAGTCTTGGGTTCGTTTAAAAATTTGTTTTGGATTTGCCCCCCCGTATAGAAGCATTGTCCATTTAAATTGACTTTATTAGAGGTACCCAAAATATCGTTATTGTTTGATGTAAACAACTAATCTTTATTGAACCAGCCATATGAAATGATCTCTTTATAGGTGCTAGATGTCCTTCTTTTATGTGAATTTTATATTGAATATAGGTAAACTGGTGACGTAATATGGCAAAGGTGTTTGTTAATTTTAGATTCATCTCGATGCCTAACTTCGAGGCTCAAAAAAGTATGTCCAAATCGTTTGCGGTTTTTTTTCTAAACAGTTTACTGCCGACCTAAATATCATAAGAAGCTTTTTAAAATGGTTGTTATTATAACTAATACTTCCGTATCTAATTGATAGGGTAACAACTGCTTTCACAAAGTTAACACAAAATTACTCTACCAATCAATACGAGCAATTATCACCTGAGTAAGGAGGCTTACATGAAATATTTGCAGTATAATAAATAAGTATACCTTTAAATTAGCATTAAATTACGCATATTTCAGATGAAACGTTTCCTATTTAGTCTTCGAGGATTTCAGCTTTAAAATGTCTCTATTCAATATTGACCACCTACTTTTCTAGGCAAATACAATCAAAAATTGGTGGGCGCCCATTAAGTTCTTTGCATAAGACAATAAATTCTTTCCATTGTTAGTCTACTTCCTAAAAGTCACTCTTTCTTCTACGTTAAAGTGGCATCACTTTCTTTGTGTGGTACGTTACTTTGTTTACTCATAAATTAAAAACGTGCCAATATGTTTAACACCTATCAATAGACATATTCTTACTCTAACCACCACCATAAATTAAAATACACATTGAATTGTGTCACAGTTGAAACAGTTGAATCGTTAATTAATTGCATTGATTAAACTTTACATCTGACGTCCAATATCATTTAATTTAATTTATAATAACCTGATTCATTTTGTTGATAATATTCAAGAATTGGGTAGTAATGGCGCTAAGATATGGTGCGTAGTCGTCGTTAGACCTCGGAGTGACATACACGATATTTACATATTTCGCGAAGTGTAGTACTTATTTCATGTATGTACTTCATACAAACTTAAGATATGAGAATTTCGACTTCAGTATCAATTACAAATTAAATTTAGAGCAGATTATACAAACATTGTTTATAGAACTTAATTGAACGTATAGTTATGAAATGTCTGAAGTAGGGTAAATTAACAAAAAATCATTTTGTGTTTAGTGAAGTTAATAATTTTGTAATAAGACGTTATGGGGACTTTGAAATTTAGAGAATTAGGAAGGTAAGTTGCACTTATTTCTTGTTAAACTAGTTCTTACGCTTAATTAATTACTGCCGTTGATAAAGGTAATGAGAAAATAGTTAGGTACTCATTGTGATTAATTTTTCTCTTGCATTACCTTACTTAAAAGTAATCGATCGATGAAAAATTTTATATTTTAAAATTGTGTTCGGTAAAATTTATGCCCGAATTGCAGTGTGTAAATTAAGTGATTAACTTTTGGAAACGGTGACAGTAATGGTTTTATTCAAATAAAAAGAAGGGCCGTTAAAGTGGCCAAAAGTGAACCTAAACATTTCGTATATGAAACAGTACTGGAAAAATTACTTATTTATCATAAGATTAATTTGAAGTAGGCGTATTAGATCATTCTTGCACAAATAAAATACCTGCATGTAATTAGTTTAGGCGAATTAATTTTATATGTGGGCATCTCCGGAACGATTTGCACAATTTTATTAATGAATGTGGTACATTATTACTTAGAGAGGTTATCTACATCTGAGATTAACCTCAAGGAGTGCAGATTTTCTTCAATATGTACCCCCAATTCTCGCAAAACGCTCACCGTAAAGAAATATAATTAATAAGAAAATTAATTTACTTGATTAATTGGTGAACATTAGCTGTTAGAATTACAATTTCGATGTATCCTAACCTAAATTTGTATGTAATAATTAATGATAACATTTGATCTCTTCTGTGGGCACAGTGAATCTGAATTAATTTTTTGTACCAATTTTAGCACGTGTCTAGTTGACAATGCTCATAAATAGAATTAATATAACGAATTGGAGCACCATCAAAATATTGTTTTTCGCCCTACCCCAACCCAATACGCATTTTTGGGTTGGTGAACTTTTCAGTCGTACATCCTTTTTCGTAATTTTCACAATACTTAGTACACCATCATTACTTTGACGCGTGACGCTGAAATAAACGGATTGAATATGTTTGTCTTATTAAACCCATCAAATTCGTATATTTAAGTCAGGGATAAATTTGGATATGGCATTTTGTTAAGTGTATTTGGATGATATCAACAACAGTTCCAAGTTATGCATACTAAATGTGTTATTAACACATACAATGATGTAGGTAGTTTGGTTACATCTTTAGAAATGTGCTCCATTAATAAGCTAAGCAAATATTTGACTAAGTGTCCTGTTACTTAAGTAACAGTTGTGGTCGTGGTAATAATCTATTTAAATTGATTTGATCAAATTCGGTTTGACGATGTAACCTAATTTATTGTCTTCTTCCGTATCTATTTAACAGTTCTAAATTTCTGTAATGTACACACATTTCGCACTCTTCTCATCATATTTTCTATGTGTATATCGTTAAAGCAGATTTTTTCTGTCGGTACAAATTACGTTTACACATGGAATTCAGATATTGAAATAGCAAATCTGAGTTTAAGTGATGATGATTGTATATGAATTAACGAATGTAGAGCATCTGCACGCATAAACAAACCTCTTAAATGGGATTTCCTATAAAATCTAATAACAATAACGTTCATGGTTATAAAAATTAGGTCGCTATGATAATTATTCAGTTAATGTATAGAATGGTTAGGGGTATGCACTTTTGTCTTTGCCAAATCAGGTCGAGTTAAACATTCGCAAATTACATATTTCAAAGAAGCAAAAAGTTCAATGGGACAAAATTTATTCTTAGAATTCGTGTGAACCAAAACAGAGGATATACCCTACCCATATTTTTAAACCCGCAAGTGAATAAACTAGCAGATCACTATTTAGGTAAAATGCCTAAATTAAGTGACCGGTTCTTTACGATGGCGGATGGTTGTGATATCCAGCGAGACTGTTATACAATGCACTGCTTCAAATGATATTTATCATTATAGCTTCTAGCTTGAGGTAGGTGGCTATTGTGATCACCGTTTTTTGGACATTTCATCAAATGTCGACGTTTTAGATCATTTTAAGCAACTTTTAAAGAACAACATTTTTTCCGTCTGTAGGTCTGTGCGTAGGTTCGTACGTGCGTAAGTTGGCAATTTTTCGAGGTAACGGCTCGACGAATTTTGTTCAAATTTTGGACATGTATATTAAGCATACTGAAACGAAAACTAACGAGCCGGATTTTTGATAAAACATTTTCGAGCGCCGCAACGGCATCGAACTTTTGTTTTTCAAATAGCAACCTATAGTATTTTACATTATTAACCAGGTAAGTGAGATTTTACTGGCGATAGGAGAAGTTGACTGGCGAGCCGTCAGGCGAGCCTGTCATCTCCTAGAGCCAGTAAAAACTATTACCTGGCGTATAATGTACAATATTTTATTTGTTACTCATTTGTAAACGTAAATAATTAGTTCTTAACTTGATCTCGAAGAAATGTCTAAAATATCATATTATCCATGTAACAGAGACTTCGCATTAATTCTGGCCAATGAAATTACTAGATTACTAACTTGTAAAATTTTTACACGTCGGCTGTCAGTTTTACAAGTCAGTAGCGTTTAAAGATGACGTTTACCCGTTTGCGTTTTGTCTTGTTAGTCAACGTTTACAACTGAGTAACAAATAAAAATGTTTTTTAAGCTATTCGAAAGACCTTATTTTTCTGTGTACAACCTATAAAAATTGTGCCAGGTTTTATTACAAAAAAACTGAGAAACAAAATTTAAATAAGTTTGTACGCTGTTTAGAAGGTCTCGTTTCCCTTATCGGGTGGCTCCACTAATTAAAGCAGGTACCTTCTGTCTTCAACTCCTACAAATAAATAATTCCGGAACAACACTTTTCGTAACGAAGCGCCTCTAGATACCATCAATCAAGCGGGTAGCGGCCATATATGTACGGTGTGTTCATAAATTCCGGTACATAACCCGAGTGCTTCGTTACAAGACTATTACGAAAAAACAACCAACAAAAATTACACTAGAACTATTATGAAAACAGTATCCTAGAGATTATAAAAAAGAGAAGACTGCGTTCATTAGAAATTTTAGAGAGAATGTCTGACAGTACAGCAGGGACATATATTGTTTGGAAACAAATTCAACGCTCATCCCAAGAATTCAATGAGACAGGTCGGCGCTAGAAGATATAAAAGAAGATAAAGGATGGGAAGGACAAAGCAAAAGGTAAAATGCTACGGAGCAAAATATTGAGGGAATGTAAAAAAGGGTGTTCGCCCGTCCACCGATGTGTTCAACACATAGATATATTCAAGAGCCATCAGATTTAGTTTAGATCATTGAATAAGCACCTTAAAGAAGTATAACGCCCGTGTTAACTGATGAAATAAGAAATTCTGCCCAGGATTCTGTCGTCCCTCTGTTGTGGGGGAAAGTGAACCACAAATTTAAAGCTAGTTACCGACCTTGCAGATTTCTTTACTTCTTTAAAATTTCAACGTTGCCAGATTTTTGGCAAGCGCTTTGAGTTTGAATAAACTAGATTAAAATATTCAATAAGCTTTTATTCAATGCCAATAACAATATTATGTAAGGGAGGATCGATCTGAAATGTAAGATCATAAGGAACAATAAATAAAGTAAAAAATGTAGTTTAATCTAATAAGAAAACAACAAGAACTGTTCTAAGGACCACTATCTTTACATAATAAACAATCAAACTTTACCTAGCTCCATATAAGGATCTGGTAAATATGACAACACCGTTCAACTCTGATAAACAAGGAAAACAAAGGACCCCTAAGTATAATTGATTTCCCTGTTTAAAATAGTCATTATTTACTGCCCGAGGCCAAATATCCTTCAATATTTGTGGTAATTAACCACTTTGCAGTGTATGCAACACATCTTACACCAACTTCAGGTTTTCCTATGTAGTTATACTTCTTATTCAATGGTTTAGATGTTGTGTACCGACAGTAAGTCACTATTAAATTTTTGCAGAGCAATAAGCCAATAAACCTGGACAACTCATATTTATTTGCTTATGATACGTCGCAACACTCGCAACGGCTACGGAGACGACGGCGACTACCCATGAAAACAAAAAAAATCACTTAAATATGTGCTCTTTTGTCCTCCCATCTGTCTAGTTTATTTTTTCCTAATTTATACATCCACAAAATTATATTGCCATCTTTGTAAGATATAAAAAATGAATTAATTTACATTTTACCACCTACCTACCTAATACCTAATTCATGTTTAACTAGAATTTAATTTTTTTGGTTCCTTATGAAACTTCAAATTTATAATTTTAATATATATAATTTGAAATGCATATACATATTATTCATATTTTATTTTAAGGCCAAGCTCAGACGACATTACGTAAAAACAACCCGGTGATAACTTTCCGGATATCATGTGTTGATATTAATCCCGTAATTACGCGGAAATTAATCGTATGAGATTATTAAGAAATTATTTAAAGTCAATTGAGCATATCGTCGTGAAAAATATTACAAATTTAATATTTGGCGCCTAACACTACGAATGATTTGCTCTAATTCTTTAATTCGTTGAGTATAAAAAGATATCAATAATAACATTTTTATTACTCTAAGAACCATAATGCATTTGAACGTAAATTTATCTATCTAAGCACAGATAAGCTTTATTGAGTTTCTACAGGTTAGTACTTCTAAACAAAAGATTTAGAAAATAATTTGTTTGACATTTTTCCATGTGAATTTCCAAGTGGTTATATGTCGAAATAATATACGTAGAGACTTTAATTAGCTTAATGTATCATAATAAGAGCATCAATAATGTCAATACGGTCGTAATATAGATATGATAACTAATATTCTATTCAAAAGTCTTGACCACTCTTGACCTAATGAAAATATTTCTAAATATCAAGCGATAATAAATGACCTATATATTTATGTTTATCAAACTGAATTATATTCAGTTATGTAATTTTTCTTAGGCATGATTTCATCTGACTAATTATTTCTTGTTAAAAATTGAAAATACAACGATTATTTTAGTTTGATGAATTGTATATGACGCCGACGATGTATATCTCTAATGATATGATCGCATATTTTTAACCTTTCTTAATGTTGCATGACAATAAACTAAAATGGCCATAAATTTTAATATATTATCTATGTTACAATTAGCAAATTGTTATCAAGGTTAATGAACTCCGAATTCTTCCTTTCTGAGGAATACTTTTTGCAGTCGTACGGATCTAAGTATTCGAAGTTATTATTACATTCTGTTCTGGTTGTATTGTTGCACTATATGTACTGTAGGTAATACCATTGTTTAAATACTTTTAAACAATGGTAATACCACAGATGTAATACTAATATTTACGGTTGTTCTCTATTTTTTATGTCAAAAAATACATATAATACAAGGATCAAAGAACACATTTACATAACTTTTCATAGGCTCAATAAAACAAAGAATGGCGTATCACATTATGGGATGAAGTTTTATAATGCATTACCCACGAAAACTGAAAACTTAGATTTACTATCAATCCCTATTGTAAAGGAATATTTAAAATGTCTAGCATTCTACTCACTAAACGAATTTTTCAACAATAGTTTCAATGACTTAGATTGCTAGGTCTATTTGTGGAGATGTTTATATTTGTTGTCTAAATGTAGGTAAGTATATTTATTTTGTCCTTTGTCATTTTACCTCATTGTAATTTGTCTAAGAAAATAGGTTTTTTAATTAATGTCCATTTATGCCTGTGAAACAATGACGTGTGAAAATACTTGTCGGGATAATATCATCACTAATAAACTATTATGTACAGGGTGTAAATCGAAAAGTGGAAAAGTGACATTTAACATGGGAAATTACTTTTTCTTTGCGCAAACGTTTCCTAATTATTTTACGCAAAAATACTTCAAATAAAAGTTATAGAGATATAAATTCTGCACCTAAGTAATTAATGTGAAACGATTATTCTACCTCTTTTTGTACGCGTAAAAATTAATTATAAAGAATCTGTTTTCACGAGTTTTTAGTCTAAGTATCCATGGACTATGATAAAAGAAAAACACTTTTCGATTTACACCCTGTACGCATGCATACATACAAAAAAGTGTGTTAAAAGTTTGTCCTAGGGTTTGTTGTGAATTAACTCGTTTAATAAGTCGACGTCAAAAATCAGTTAAGTAATTAGTAACTAATATCGTCAATGCATTACCACCTTGAATATACCTACGTCCTATCCTATATTGACGGGATTCACTGCCCTAAACCCCATTTGGTCCCGTATTTTGAAAATTCGCACATAACTCGTAAAGTACTTTGCAATAGATACTTTCCTAAATGCCTTAATAACACGAGTGACTCCGATATATAAAAATGGTTACAAAACTCCTTTTAATTTCCGTTCAATTTGTTAAAATAGGTACCTATTTGAGAGGCTTATATATATTTGTTATCTCACGATATTCTACTTAGTAAACTGGGAATATATAACTTTAGCATTAGTAACAGAAGTCAATTTGTTAGTTACATAACATATGTTACCAACGAAATTGCCAGTGACTCACGGAGTTTCCCCAAGGAACAACCCTTGGTCCGCTGTTATTTTTAATTTACATCAACGACTTGACTTCAAATGTGAATTGTGATTATATACCATATGTTGATAATATAAAGTCATATTTAGTATTTTTTCAAAAACTGAACTTAGTAATTTTTATTTTTGATAAAATAAAATAAGCCAGCCAGCCGGCCAAAGTGAGATTAAAAGCTATCTTTTACAAATAAATTTGCAAAAATGCGCTAAAAAGCAAGTGATTCTAAACAATGTAAAAGATAATACATACGTTTTCTACAAGAATGACGTAATTCCTCGCGTAATTCAGATTTTGAACACTCACGCACGATCATACCGAAACAAAAAACACAGACTATAAGAAACTATAAGACGTTACTCTACCCGAATCCTAAATTACACTGAAAGCAGGTAAATTGAGATGCGCCAGTCTTATCAGTAAGTGACCGAAAACAGCATGTGAAATTTCTTCTTTTTTCGACATATAAGTTTCTAAGATGTTTACGGCAGCGAATATTATAGGCGAAATATACATACGTATGTACTTGAATGGATCAATTGGAGCACTTTAAATTAGAAATAGCAAGGAAAAATGGAACGTCCTTGATTATTCAATGTAACTTCTCGCATTCGGTGACAAGTCGTTTTAACATATAATTTTTATTAATATTTCGTAAGGAAAATCACTTTTTAAGAAAATATCGAAAACATTTTACTGTAGGATACGTAGTCCTTTGATTTTGTGTTTTAAAAAGGTACGATATGAGTGATCAGTCGAAACTTTTGCCCTGCACGAAGTCTTTGGCTAAAGTGAAGCAAGTAGGTACCGTTTAGAATTGGGTTTGAATTATGCCAGTTTTCTAGGGCTTTAAGCCACGTGCAATCCTGAAATGTTAATGAGTATCTCAACTTTCGAACTGTGCACCCTGGTTATGTTCCTCGCCACGCACCAGGGCGTAATTGAATTGAGGTACATTTTAGAATTGGGTCTCACGATCGAAATTGTACCTGTTTTGTGTACCAGAAGTCTCAAAAATGTACCAAATTCTGTATGAAAGCGATGGAGAATTTCAAGTTTCACATTGTGCACACTCTACTCATTAGATGTGCACATTCTGCGTGCAAGGTCTTTATTATAAGTACACAATGATGCAAGCTTGAATGATCTCAACTCTCAAACTGTGCGTCCTTAGGTGATCTTCACCCTACAGGTCTTGGGCATAAGTGAAAAGAGATTACGTGCGAGAATTAGGTTTCACCGTCGGACTTGTCCCTGTTTTGTGCGCCCAATGCCAGATACACGTCTTGAAATATAATTCGTTATGAAGCTAATGTACGAAAATGCACGTTTCTTATTAGTGTATTTCCAAATATAAGAAATGCGTTATTGTTGACAATGGCAGATGTCAGATCTTATAGTGGTAAAATCTGCCGAGTACTTTCGTCTTGTTTAGCATGGCAGCAGGCTTGCGCCTTATAGATTAGTCGACCAATAAAGTGCAGCCAAAAAAATACGAATGCTGGAAATTTTACACATTAGCTTTTACATACTAAAATTAAATGAAGACACTCGAAATGTTGGCTTATTCCCCCACAGCCATTAAATGTAATTATATTTGTCGGTTGTCGGTGTATAGGTCTATTAATCTATCTGTATGGCGTCTGAAAATAATGTTTTCTTATTTGTCTACAAGGAATTTTCACAGTGAAGTCCGCACAAATAGAGGTGGTAGATCTGGAGGAGAATATCTATCTTAGAAGTGAAGCGTCGGAAGTGGATAGGATCACCGTCCAAAATATTTGGGTCAATGCTGCTTATCTAATGCAAATTATTTCATTAGTGAAGCATTTAATTATTTATTTATTTATTTATTTATTTATTTATTTATTTATTTATTTATTTATTTATTTATTTATTTATTTATTTATTTATTTATTTATTTATTTGTTTATTGTCTCTGTTGTTCTGGGTCCTCAACATGCTTTCGCTCAATCATTAAGGGTTCACGATGGTGTGTGGTGTTTATAGCCTGGGCGATTTACAAAATATTCACAAATAAATGCTTTCATGTGTTTTCTGAACCGTTTGGACTTAATAACTTAAAAGAATTTGGAACCCCATTATAAATAATAAATAAATAGTGCACATGGTTTCGGGGATGGATGCAATGGTCAACTTGGCTTCTCACAGTTCAAAGATTTTTCTATTTTATATTTCATTTGTGTGGAAATTTTACAAGATTTAATGATTTTTTTTGTTTTAGTTGGAGACAGCTTATGAAGATTTTACTATGGCTTCAAATTTTACGATCAGTTGTAGGACGTAAGTATTCTTTAATTTTTGTGAATATAAAACACGAAAGAAAATATAAATTATGCCCTACAGTAATTTATGAGTTAATGAGGGTAATAAATCAACAGAAAATCAGTGCGGCTCACGATGTGTGTAATACGAACGTGATAATTGAATAATATACGATCTAAACATCTGTCGTTATAAATGCAGCCACTTATCGTATGTATAAATAACGAATACACTCATTGCATATCCAAGTATTAATAGACTGTTAATTGTATAATTAATAATCTAATCTATATTTAGAACTGGTCTTAATTTTTGTTGTATTATTATTATTTTGTTCGATTTCTTGATTACACAGTGCTTTACGCGTACGTAAATTGCTCTCAATTTTTTGCAATTGACACACTGCCACAGTCCAAATGTTGACAAATAGTATTTACCTAACATCGTGCCCTTCTTCAATTCTAAAAAAAAGGAAGTTTCAGTTTGAACTTTTCCATAACCTGTCCTATATTATACTCCTATATAGGAAGTACTAAAATTTGCACGTCAGGGCCGGATATTCGATTCGGCTGATCCTGAACCAGAGGCGCAACTAGGGTGGGGGGGGGGGGGGGGCTAGGAACGGTAAGGCCCCCAAAAACCGAAATTATCCCCCCCCCCCCCCCGCGCCATGCGACTAATCATAATTCGTGTATGCAGCTGTACTTATTTGCCCTGAAAACCTGTATTTTATTTTTGAACTCGCTTGCTACCCAAGCTGTGATCACTAGCGCAGCAATGTATATAACAGAGTTCTAGCTAGATGAAACAGTTGGCTACATGAAGAAACGTTTTTCCGAAGAAAGTCTTCAAATGGCAAAGGCTGTGGATAGTTTCTTCAATTTGGACTATAATGGATGCAAATATTTCATTGATCACTACTCTCAAGAAGTAGAACTGAAAATTGATACCAACTTACTGTTTGCGTACTTAAATGTTGATTGCTACGAACATCATGAAGAACAAAAAGCAAGAGGTCAACTATTCGAATCTGAAGGCAATTTCATGCCGACAAACGTATCCCAATGTATATAAATTGTTTCAAGCTGCAATCATATTGCCAGTTTCTTCAGTAACATGTGAAAGGTAATTTTCGGCTATGCGAAAAGTTATGAGCTGGTTAAGAACAACAATGGCTCAAGACCGTTTCTCGAATATTTCTCTTTTATATATAGAAATAATTTGATAAAATTACGTTTGGTAATGTTAATAATATGAGTGTGATGCTCAGAATTCAGAAAATGTTCAGGTTAGTGAAATGGGAAAAGAGGTATAAAAATTGGATGCTGTTTTGGAATGGGCTTCATAATATACACCGCGATGTAACACCCCCCCCCCCCCCCCCCCAAGTTGAAGTCTAGTTGTGCCTATGCCTTTAACACTATTCAGTCGTGTTAACCCTGGATTTTTTTCAACCGAACTGTTCCTCGCAAATTAAAAAAAAATGCGGTGATTAAATTTCAAGTCTTCCTCTAGGACCTTCTTAATGTAAAGCCACATGAAGTGCGATACGTTATTTGCAAGCGTATCGAATTTTTTAAGTAACCTCTTCCTTTTTAATTCCACCGAAAACCGCATTTTCTACTGATTCAGGATACCGTAGTTAGTTTACGGTGCTTAGGTATTGGCAAACTTTTCAATAGATTGCTCATTTACCTATGTACAGTAGTGGTAAGGAAAGGATACTTTATTTTGTTTTGGTGCGCTAACAAAAATTAATTTTTTTTAGAATTATCATCAGAAGAAGAACAAGGACAACCATGTGCAGACTTTAAAGCCGGAGACGACGATTTGCAAGGTTACGATTTTATTAGTCGATTTCGATTAGACATTCCTGAAACGCAATATCCTGGTGTAACGAGAGTGCGAGGTTCCCATAGGATGCAAACGGCGTATAGACTAGATAAAGAAGCTAATTTAACTGTTCCTACAAGGTGAGTACTGTACTGACTATGTAAACGCCCAAAAATTGGGAAATGGCACTAAATTTTGTTATGGAGACTATTTAGTTTAAAGTTTGCGCAAACGCTAAGTGATGGACCAATGACAAATTGTTTGACATGGTTTGCACAGTGTAGTTTGAGGGCTTTCATTTAAGATCCCGAATAAAGGTAAGGATAAAAATGTGATTATACTCGTTTTATATCTAATGAAGCTGTTAAAAGTTAATTCAAATAGCTTATTCGGTAGATAATAAATTATTTATGCACCAAAAATTTAGATTTTGTGATGGTGTTTATGTCAAGTGATAAATGAAATCATGACATGCGACAATTAAAATAAGAAATTAAGTATTTTAACATTTTTATTCCATTTTGGTATTCTAAGATCGTGTAATTAATCAAAATATTTTCAATTGACATCAACGTGAATGGTATGTTGGATTAATAAATGGCAGTACCGAAGCCTAACCATAATGAATGATGTAGGATGTCATATAGCCATTGAATAAACTTATTTTTTATTCAATGATATGGCGCAGTAAAGTAAGAGACAAAAAACGGTTTTATTGAATTACAGAAATAATATTAATGAAAATAGGTAAACTTTACGAGCAAATCAAAACCACAGATCTTATATCTGTTTTACATTTGTTTTATATCTGTTCACCCTTATCAACGTAGATGTAGATTGATCTAGAGATTGATGTTTATACCAGATCTTTTGGGAAGGCCTCATTTTGTGTTTTTTTCCATCTGTGTTTACTGTGAAATAAAAAATTTTGAAAGTCTGTGATGATATGCCGTCACTATACGGACTTGCCGCATTTCTGAGGTGGCAGAATACAGATTAGTATGCTTTCTAGATCATTTGGTCACAATGCAGGTGGCCGCCAAAATTGCGTGAAATTTTTTGAGCATTGAAATAATACGTGTGGACGTTTTCCTAAAAAAACTAATGACCATTAACATTACCATTAACATTACCATTAACGAACACATGTAGTTCAAAAATAACTCGAGGAAACGAGTTTAATGCCCATTCGACAGTCAGTAAAACTGTAAGCTTCATTTGCTAGAAACACTGCGCAAAAAATGTAAAGAACCAAATCCATGCAGAAACTTGTAACTTTTTGGCACGATTGTTATTGTGCGCATTGTATAATTTAAAAAAATTCGCCCAACGTGGGGCTCGAACCCACGACCCTGAGATTAAGAGTCTCATGCTCTACCGACTGAGCTAGCCGGGCTGTTAATACACCGCTCGTAGGAATGATATATTAATAGAAATCCATTTTATAATTAATTAATAATTTTTATTAAACAATAAATTATGTTAATTTTTAGATACAAAAACCACATCTTTTACGCTATTTGTATTCGCTCACTAATCTTTTTCTTAACAATACTCGAGCCATAACCGTAAATTGGTACCTATGAATTGTTAAAGTACCTACCTAAGTGTATAACAGGGGATACATACCTACGATTATACCTATTACTATGTTTGAGAGTATTTTCCTTTCATTTGGTTTTGAGCCTAAATTACCATGCATTTTATGCTCGATTTCAGATATCTATGCGTATTGACCACGCTCACCATCATCAGCTAAGCGTTTTGGATTTCATCGTAGTCCAACACCAAAGCGTGCTCTTTGCGTTCCAAGGTTCCACATTATGTGCCATACATTCCGCGAAAGTGAACTGTGGTGGTCTCACTTGCATCACATTTTCCTCTTCTAGATGTTCCTCACATTCATTCTGTCCCACGTATGGAGCCAACCGATTTATATGCACTAGGTACAGACTTGTTATAACTAGACCGCGCGTAACGTAGAGTTTACTATAAACGCCTGTTGTCAAGATAGGATAGGCAACCAACTGTTCAGCGCGGGGCAGACGTACGTTCTGCAGCTTGCTTTAGCCATGTTTATTCTAAATTTTAGTAGCAAAAAAAGATAACATATAGCTGTTAACTGTGTTAATCGAATTTATTGGTATTTTATTTGAACTAAATTGGTATAGGTATAACTGCCTTACTCTAGTCCTAATTTGATTTATATGTGTATTTTGGTGGTGAACACGTATGGTAAAATATACTCTTAAAACTAAAGATGTAAGTAGTAAGATATGATTATTTAGCGGATTTTGATTCAATATATGCCTATCCAAAAACCCAAATGGGCTGTAACTGTTATTTATTTTTCTTAGACTGCTGATAACCATTTTGTTTACAACGCGGTGTGGTGTGGATTGAATGAAAAACCTGAACACATTTTCAGCAATTTGGCAAATTTTTAATGCATCGCTTGATACGTGCAACAATCCTCCACGATTTTTTCTAGTTAAAAGCTTTGAATGACTCTCTGATGCGAATATCGCATCTGCACATATGGAACATTTAACAGACTTAGCTATTTTTCTTGTAACAAAACCTGAAATATACTTAGTACCAGTAAGTACTTAGTTACGTCTATACCTAATAGGCAAATAGATATTGCCGTTGTCTTGCTGGTAAAGGATGTCGAATAATAGTTCTACGTTATTTTAAGTGAATGGGAAAGTCGAAAACGCTCGGTATTGCATTATTGTTTGCTTAACACCTTCGTAGGTACCTTTCTAAAATCGGCTTCATTCCCCGCAAATGCACTATGGTGGGAGTACATTTTTCTCTTCGAATGGCTCTGATCCATTGGCCCTTTAAACTTTTATCCGTTGAAAATCAGCATATTATTTAAAAATTTATCGACAGAGTACATGTTGATAGGCACAAGTTAACCTAAGTTTATTGGTTTATTCTCAACAGAAATTTATCTGTTCACTAATTCGAGCTAATCACGAGAATGATTAATGAACGGAACATCTAAAATAACAGCTTATTTCATTATATTGCATATCATCTCAGCGATTTTTGCCCCGCGGTGCATTGTGTGTTGCATACGGTGTCGACAACACCTTAGATACGTTAAGCGCAGTCTAGTTATAGCAAGTCTCTGACTAGGTACAACTATATAGTTTTCATCGTGGTAGTTTCCGTATCCAATATATTAAGTCGTTTATTCTCTTCACGACGGTATACGGTCCTTATTAAACTCTTAGTGATTTCGGGAATTTTCTTGAGCTTTAGGCCATACCTGTATTACATGATTTGTGTCGAGATCCACTGTCACTCCATTCTCCGAAACCACATGACCAAGGTATTTCACTTCTTTTTGGAGAAGGTTGCACTTCTTAGTATTAAGTTGAAGATTAGCACCGCACAACCTCATATACACGTCTTCGAGATTCTGGAGGTGCTCTTCGAACGTTCGACCAATCCTAGTTACGTGGTCCTAATAACGCAACACACGTCTTCCAGGATAAACCTCGCAAGACCTCTCGCGATGTTCAGGATCCAAACCAACTTTCCAATAGCCGCTTACCATATTGCTTCGACTGACGGTCCTTTCCCTGAAGCAAGCACGTGTTGGTAGCGGGAAATTAATATTTTAGATCAAATTCTTGAATAAGACTGTGATCATAGCTTGAAGCCTCTCTGGACACTTCAATGTGTCATCACTCTTCACTGTGCATGTCCCAATCTCAGTGCCCTTCTTTACTTGGTCTGGAAGGAGTTCAAATTCATTATCGGAACAGGCGTTATGTTTAGCATCTACTAGCACCTTGCGAATCAAAATTGCTCGACCCACACTGGTATAATTAAGTTCCATCACTACCAAGCAGTTTTCCCGGAGACTTCCATCCATGCGAGCCATCACACATCATCCATAAGCATTACGCGTAACACCTCGTTCCCTTAGGAACTTCTTCATGGTCTACTCGAATCATTCCATTCTTCAGGTCTATCGTAAACCCGAATTTTCGTATCAAGTCCATTCCCAAAATTATCTCATCGGCGATGTCTGCTACCAGCACTTGTTGCCTACCTTTTTTGAATCCAATACCAATATCCACGGTCAGCTCTTCGAGAACACGAGCTTGATGTCAGTGGCGGTGTTCAGCCTCAGTTTTGAGATTGTAGCTTTTTGTTCCGGACTAGGTCAGGTCTTACGATGGTCTTCGTTGAACCCGTATCTAACACCATTGTACTTACACGTTCTTCCAAATAACGTACCATCTATGTACCTATAACTATTTGGGTGATTCTTAAGTGACACGACTTTGATGGTCGCCTTCGGGGCATAACTTAGGCTGGTCGAAGCTTGCCCCTTCCCATCGCCCCGTTCTAATTTTCCTGATTATTGGGTGCTGTGCTCTCCGGGAAATTTCGCCGTTTTGTCGGTTGCTGCTCCTACTGCTCCAATCTTTTCACTATTTCTTCCATATGTGCGTTCTTTTCTTCTGTAGCAATGGTGTACACGCGAGCATTACCACGAGACGATTTTCCTTGCAGCGTGAAACTCCAGGGCATGCGCCAAAGTCTTGTCTAAGTTCTCATGTGGCTCAAGTTTCAAAGCATGTTGCGTTTCCACATCTCGAACACCATCAATAAATATCTGCACCGCCAGCTGCTCTATAACCCTTTCCGTAGCCGTAGGATACCCAATCTTATCAACCGGGCTATATCGCCTTCACCTTCGCCAGCTATTGCGTTCGGTTCTTTAATTGAGCATAATATACTTGCTGCAAATGTTTATCTCCATACCGAGATACAATTTGCTCAAACTCGCGTTGCTGGTGTTCTGGAATCGTGACCCAAAACCCTTCACCCTTCAGGTTTCTTTTCAGTTAATTTATAAATTAGGGTAGTGTCCCCAACCTTGACATACGACATTTTCTATCTTTAGAAATTGAAAAGTTGCGACGAGCAATCAGAGTTGCAGGGAGTTGAGCCCTTAAGATTTGTGAATTTTTGTTTATTATACTGACAAATTTTCCTTAATTTCAGGGACATCTTCCCAGAAGGACTGCCAGATCAATTCTCGTTCATATGCACCTTTAGATCAAGAAAAATTCAAAAATCGTCTTGGAATATAGTACAAATTACCGATTTCGATTCCAATCCTCAATTTCTGGTAACAATAAATCCACGAAAGCAAACGGTTGAGTTTAGTATATTAAATAATGTGGGTAAACTGCAAACCTTGTCATTTATAAATGCCCCCGTAAGTACCTATATATTTCATCTTAACAAACAAAGACCACGTGATCAATGACCATAGCTACTGTAATAATTTACTCCTAAAGGTGCGCTGAAACCGACGCGGGAATGCGGTAACTGGACGGGTGCGGGATATATTTGTACAGTGGGAGATGCAAGTGTACATACCACTGCGGCGTGGCGGTTCGTACGTATATCCCGCTATAGGGATATATATATATATCCCGCAATTTTCCCGCTCCCGTTCCCGTTCTCGCATTCTCGCGGCGATTTTAATGGACCTTAAATCGAACTTAAAGTCAATAGCAACATCAGCAATCGTCGCCTTGAATTTTACCAATTCACTAGGACTAGGTACTTGCGATTACAAACCACAAATACTGCCTACATGATATCAGATTGTCTCTGGTCACGTGACTTTTGAGTTTTGATTTCAAATAAAAGATCTGTTGGTTTCTAAATAATGTAATGTAGGTTTTCGATAAAAATTGGCATAAACTTCATTTTGGAGTATCGCAAGATACCGTCGTACTTTATGTGGATTGTGAAGAAATTAGTCGAAATACACTCAAAGAACCAAGAGGCCTCATTGATGTAAATGGATTAATTGCCATTGCAAAATTTTCAGCTAACAAGCAGACTGTACCGGTAAGTGCTGTAGCTATTTTTATTTGAGTGTAAATAAATATATGCTGCCGATGCAATTAGTGGTATGTACATTGTTTTTAAAAAATAGTTGATGTAGCTGTACTTAGTAATAGAAATAGGTAATAGCCTGCCAGTAGTTTATTGCAATTTACAATATTTTAAGTGAACTTAGCAATCGAAAAAGTTCACTATAAATCTCAACATCCCAAAATATTCGTAAAATTTCTTTTTCGTGTTTTTTATTTTGATTGTACTATATTTCTTGACGACACGACGGTCGTCAGTAAAGCGTGAAAACTCAAAAGTAGCATTATTTAAAAATTGGCTATTAATTTCATATTTTAAAAATGACAAGCCCGTGCTTTGCTTAATTTATTTTTTCGAAATTACCATATTATTTTAATTTCCTAAAAAAATAACGGCATTTTTGTTATTTTTGAAAGTATCTATACCTAATTATCTCTTTATACACACTCCTTTATAGTTGTATGTTATGGTTATTATAGTAAAGTCTAATGTCACTAAACCTGCACTATCTATAATTACAATTTTTTATCTACATTACCACCTACTAAGTTTGCTAGTGGTAGTGGGCTATCAGTAATTTCTCTGTATATAATACATACTCATTATGTGCTAAACTCATTTATGTACATACCTACCTCTTTAGACATGGTCGCATTAATTGGAGAACTAACTAGTTTTTATTACTTTTTAACAGGGAACGCAGTTGGTAAGTGCACCTTAATTACCTAGTTTGCAACTAATTTTTAGTACTTACATGTCTTTAACCTTTGTTTAAGTCTTATGTAATGGAATGTAGTGCGTATTAAATAATGCACGCTTAATTGTTGTGTAACTAATATATATCAATGAAATAAAAAAAACTGAACATAACATAAAAAAACTTCACACCAATGCCCAAAACCCACCCATCTATTAATCAAATTGAATTTTAGATCGACTTGCAGTGGATGTTAATGAGCTGTGACCCCACAAGCCCACAGAGAGAATCTTGCAGTGAAATTCCATTAGTAAGTATCATGACCAGAGAACTCTAAAAGACATTAACAAATTCGTTAAGGGCACAGCTCCTCAACAAAATGGAAAGCCTTCGCCACCCGCATGTGAAACGCCATGCCCGCCTGGCCCTCCAGGACGCAATGGAACACAAGTACTTATAACAGTTATTAGTATAACATCAATTTTACCAAACAATTTTTTTAGGGTAGACAAGGCCCGATAGGTCCAATCGGCCCTATAGGCGAACCCGGTTTTCCAGGAGGTAGAGGTCCACAAGGTCGCCCAGGTCCACCGGTACGTTTCTGATATTCGGAAAAATGTAAGGTCTTTATCGAACTTTTAGGGTGTAGCAGGACTGCAAGGATTACCCGGGATAAAAGGAGTTCAAGGTCCTCCTGGTGTTCCTGGAACATCAGGATTAGATGGCGCTCGTGGTTTTACTGGTGAAAAGGGTTCAGAAGGGCCGCCCGGCGAGAAAGGCGAAAGGGGATTAGATGGTTTACCTGGAGAGGCTGGACCTGTTGGACCAAGAGGTCCTCCTGGACTGGGCGGGACAGGACAAACAGTTGAAGGGCCTCCAGGCCCAATTGGACCGCAAGGCCCGCCAGGGCTACAAGTAAATACTTTTCTATCCCATACAAAATTCTATTATTTTAATTTAGGGATTACAAGGACCACAAGGCCGTAAGGGCGCAACAGGAGTACCTGGTGTTATCGGATTCCCTGGTCCCGTCGGTTTAACAGGAGAGAAAGGGGAAAGGGGAGATCCAGGACCCGAAGGCAAAATTGGTCTACCCGTAATTATACATGTATCATAAATAAACCAAATGATTTACTGTTACGTTTAAGGGGGAACCGGGAGCACCAGGTGCCAGTCTTAATGGAAATACCGTAGAGGGACCTGTGGGCCCTGCTGGTAAACCAGGCATTCCAGGAATTCCAGGCATCGACGGCGCCAAAGGAGAACCAGGTGAACCCGGTTTAAGAGGTGTAAAAGGAAATAAGGGTAAATTCAGTTAATCGATATAACGCTACCTACTTTAAATGATTTATAGGCGAAGCAGGAGAACGGGGATTAATTGGCCTTCCGGGCGCACCCGGTACGCCGGGCTTAGATGGAGCTAAAGGCCAAATGGGATTTACCGGACAACCAGGAATGCAGGGGCGTATTGGATTAACAGGGGCGCCTGTAGGAATTTGAAATAAAAGGAATAGTATGCATATTAATAGTGTTTATCAATAGGGATTAGCAGGAGTCGCTGGAACACATGGATTGCCCGGAGAAAAAGGAGAGCGAGGTGAACGGGGGCCGCCAGGTAAATGTTGAAGTACCTAATGCTGAATTGTTCACTTAATGATATATGCGTGTGGCAGGGTCTGCAACTGCAGTAGGAGGTACAAATGAACCGGGTCCGGCTGGTCAGAAAGGGGAACCCGGGCGCGCTGGAAAGGACGGAGCCAAAGGGGAACCTGGGTCACCAGGTCTTCAAGGTGCACAAGGTTTACCCGGTATCGATGGAGCGCCTGGAATAGAGGGAACTTCAGGAAAGGATGGTGAAGTTGTAAGTATATAGTACAACTTAATAAACGTCTGTAGGACAATATTTGGGTAGGGTCCATCGGGTCCACGAGGTGAGCTAGGTCCACAAGGACCTCGGGGACCAAGCGGTTTGCCGGGTAAAATTGGACCGCCTGGATTTGTCGGTAAACCTGGGAAGAAAGGCGAGTCCGGAGTACCAGGAGAGCAAGGTCCAGTTGGGCCGAGAGGTTTATCTGGAAACATGGGAACACCAGGTTTGCCAGGCTCGCCTGGTTTGATGGGATTGCCAGGAATGCAAGGGAAACCAGGACCTGCGGGAGCGCCAGGAAGTGCCGGCCCAGCCGGCGAATGTACATGCGCAAGTAATTTAATAATCGATGGATCAGCAGGGATACCTGGCGCAGTTGGACCTAGAGGCCATTCTGGTCCACCAGGAATGGTAAGTGGTAACAAGAATCATATTTGCACATAGATCCATCCATAAAATATAGCTTACCCCGAAGTGGTATATACTGCTCAACAAAGTGTCAAAAAACTTTAACCACGAATAAATTTGATATCTATAGTGTGATGCAGCAATGTATTTCAATTATTAACCAAATAATCATCAATCAACTCAATCCTCTATTAATACTCTGTTTGATAGCCAGGAGAACGTGGTGCTTCTGGAGAGAGAGGACCGCTTGGAGCTACGGGATCTCCTGGAATGCCAGGCAAAGAGGGTCCTCCGGGATTACCAGGTCCACCTGGCCAGAGAGGATTACCTGGAATGCCTGGACTACAGGGAGTTGCAGTAAGTAACCTTCTTTAAACCTCCTAATAATATCTATCATAGCTTAACTAGTTTCAACACAAACATTTCTTATGGATGTCACATGTTCATAGTAGATAATAATTAATAAACTACCTACATAAGCATGTGCAATTTATTGTCAAACATCTCTTGATCATATGAGAATGAAGTTCTAAAATGGTAGCAATAATTTATTAAAATATTGCAATACAGCCGGAGCATTTATTTAACAATAAAAAAATGGTAAATTTCTACACTGCATCCACCAACAGTACAATACAATATATAACACAGTCTTTTCATGTACACTTAATTATTAAAATAGGAAATCAGAAACATATATCGATTGCTGTTTGCTTACAAAATTGTAAATAGGCTAGATCAATCAATATGCATTTCTGTACTGGTCTCCATTTTTTAACTTTTTCTATGACTAACTTATTTGCTATACGATGGATTTATATAAAACTAAATATATTCATCACTAGAGGTTACTGTCTAAGAATTTATAATTAAAATAATGAACTATTGTTCTTGTCCACATATACATAACACAAATCCTATCACATTAAATTAATTTTTCGAACAAGACTGAAGTGCAAGTTTCTTAACAAGCGGGCCTTGTAGTTTTGGATTTAAACTAATTTTTCCGTAATTTGAATTGGCATATTTGTCTTTTATAGCAATGAATTTTGACTTCTCCATTTTTAAAAGGAAAGTTGCTAAATTTAAAAGCACAGGTTTAATATCGGAGTACTTATAAGAGGAGTAATAAACTAAGGTCCGTGTCCAAACTTTACTCGGCTCTGATATATCGCTTAAAATACTAATAGACAAGCAACAGGCGGCTGCAGCTTGCAGTGATGGGTCAATATGGCATAACTCGTGATGTAACAAAAATATCTCTAGTAAATATTTAGCGAGATTGTGGTGATCGGATGTAACCTTTGCTACTTTGTTGAACCGCCGTAGGAAATGTATAGATAATGGTCGCCCTAAATTGAATTTAAGTGTGGTCAACATATCTCGTTCCATTTTAATAATATCAGAGAAACTAAACGTATTGTCGCATATATACTCAAAATCTGTAATTTCTGGTACATACATCTCCTCATACTTACTAGCAATTAGAATTGCAGTTACACCTACCAGCTGAAGTGTTTCGCGACCAATTGTCATATGTTGTTGAAGATAGCGATCGAATAATGAAACAGATAAATGAAAGGTTTCTAGTAGAGACCTGAAGTTAATATGAACTTCAACCATCCAATTTACGACAATACTTCGCATACGTGGAGTAGTTCGGTGCGCGTCCAGATAGCCTTTCCTTATGACGTATTGCGTTTCTAATGTACGTAAATATTGAAAGATATCTTGTACATAATCGGTCACAAGAGATGGATCATTTTTGTCACTGGCATCAACATCGAGGATTGCCATTAGTTGTTTGCTAGAGAAAGAGGCTTGTTCTGCTTCTTGACTGAGCGTACTAGCGGTCTGCTTCAGAAGAGAGCTTTCTTGACGTTTTAAAGTAACAGTAAGCTCATTTTTGATGGCATTTGTGGTTTTTGGCAGCACCTTCTTTGGTGCCGGCTTTACCGCTGTAGTTTTTACCCCGGCTTTTACTATCACTTCTTGTTTGTCAGGTTTTTTAGCAGCATGGTTAGGTGGATGATTAAGAAATTTATTACCTACTTCGCCAAGTGCAGGTCTTTTAACAAGTCCATTTCTTGCCGCTGGCTTGCCGAGACGTTCGACCAAATTTTCACGATCAGTTATACTAGCAGCCTCTAATTTCCTTACTCTCAAGGACATCTAAAAAACACATGCTATTTAGAAAAACTACGGAAAATTCGCGTAAAAAAATATGTACAATTAATATAAAATGACCGTTACAAAAAATTTCTACTTTTGCACACATTTTACGAAAGATTACCTTTATCAAAGCAAAATAATGATCGTATATCTAAACCTAAACGTTAAATATTAACATTTTACCTTGTAAATTGTAAAAATCGTTAATAAAATGTGTTAAAATAGTTTTTTGACGTTACAGTTACAGTTCACTAGGATCGTATTCGTATCTACGTTATCGACCATTTGCAATTCAAGTTAAAAGTACGATCGTTCATTGGCCACTTATGTTCGCACGTGACCTTTCTCAACGGCTAAAAATTGGCGCGCTAAATGAAATTGTGGCGGTGTCTCCATACACGCTCCAAAATGTTCTGCTTTGCTAATGTATAAAAAGGGCTACACGTTGAGCTCCTGCGCTAAAAATATACCTACTTATTCCTTAATAAGTAAGTATATTACATAATAGCATAAATTATATTGATACAGCCAACATTTTTTTCATTACGAATTGATAATCTGTATGCCTCTTTCCACCACATTGGGAGATAATTTTATTCATATTTTTAGCGCATTTTCCAACGAAGTTGGGTGCGCTATTGCAGCGACTTTCTACGTCCTTCCGTCCGTCTGTCCGTTCGTCCTCCTACAGTTTTCAATGCATTTAATTCGTTCTTTTTAAATTCGTTAGCTTACAACTCTGGCACCTGAGCCAAAAAAATCTTGACGATTAATATGAACTTTCAAGTAGGTTATTTATCGTCGAAATCTTCTCGCCAAAAAGTGGTTGCCAAATCAAATCTAAAGTATAGCGCATCCCTTCGTTGTATACTCTTTGCTAGTAGTTAATCTGTGCTAGTAGTTAATTGCATGTTACAGTGAAGTATTTTTGTTCCGGCTTGTGTTCTGCGCGAAATTATTTTTGTTTTCGTATCTCATATTACAGTTAAACATTTTTATAGTATATCAAAGTTTGGGTTCGTCATTTTTATATTTTCAAAGGTACCCCCTTTTGGGATGTGCCGTTGATAGAGGTAAGCTAAAAAAATTACAACATTGGAGAAGACACCCATGAAATCCTAGGGACTCCGTTAATTCTATCGTCCTATCGTTATGGTTACCAACAAGGAAATCAAAGAAGAAATACGAAAGTTGCTTTTGTTGTTGGTAGCTCCCAAGCAAGTAGCTACCTATTTAACCTTCCAGTTATTTGGCAAGAAAAAATTGTTTTGGTTCTCTCGCAAATCCCTAACAGCAACTGGGTAACATAAAGTTTTAGTCTGATTATTTAAAAGTACCTAGTAATAGGGTTCAATACTTACGTATTACGAACCCATCTATCATTAAAATTTTTTAAAAGAGTTGCAATAGTTGTACAATTTTGACTTCTTTTCGCTGGCATTCATTTTGAATGTAGGAATGTAAACTGGTCTTTTTTCCAGAGTACAATTTATCTACTAAATATGAAAAAGTACTTTGGTTAAAATTTAATACTGAGAGCTAGAGTTAGATTAGGGAGAAGTATTTGACCTACCTACTTTAAATACCAGACCAATGATTATTATTAACCTTAAACACCCTGAAATGCTTGCGAAATATAAATCTTGTTTGCATTTACTTACGCAATCATTTTAGATCTCTAGGTGCGGACTGAATTAAATTTGATTTCTATTTCAGGGTCGCAGCTACAGTGAAGGTGAAATTCGAGATATTTGCGCATCGGTCTTACGAGGTATTACAGTTTTACATTTTCAAACACCTAACCTTTGAAACGATACGTAAGTTACATAAGTGACAACATTAATTTTGTATATTTAGACCAGTTAGACGATTTGGCAGCAACGTTAAATAGGCCCACCAGGGCCTCCGGGTCGAAGTAAACCTGGCAGACCAGGTCCGCCTGGTTTGCAGGGTCCATCAGGTACTTGTCAAACACAGTAATTTGGTTTATTGTTCAACAAACACTAACATAGGTAGCTTATCATTTGTGTATCACACCATGGCACTAGTAGACACTGACATAATCACCGCGTATATATAGTAATAGACGCAACATAAACCATGGACTAATATTGGAACATTGCATGCAGAGCGTATGGACGAATTAACGCTGGGATTACGGGGGCCTCCTGGCCCCCCTGGGCCGTCACGTACCGGAAAACCTGGAAAATCGGGGGTCCCCGGAATCCCAGGTTAGCTTTCATTATTACGTTGCTTTTTCCATTTACAACAGGCATGTGCTCATTACCTATTCTTCACTCTACACTTCCCTTTTTGCAATGTTATATGACTGTCATTAATCGTGTAGGTGACCAAGGACCTCCAGGTTTACAAGGAGAAAGAGGATTTGTAGGTTTACCCGGACCAGCGGGTACACCAGGTACAATGGGACCTCCGGGCGATAGAGGAGAAAAGGGCGATCAAGGAATTGAAGGAACTGGCAGTGAAGGACCTATAGGGCCTCGAGGACCACCAGGTAAATCTTATTGCGCTTTGACATATGATTTCACTTTATATTTCTAGGTCCAACAGGCCCTTCTGGTGTAGGACTTCCTGGTAGAGCAGGTGACCGAGGTGAATCCGGTAGACCAGGTACGTATTCTTCCTTAAACCTTTTATGTTACCATTATTTCTTGCAGGGTTAACGGGTCCTCGAGGAGCTCCAGGTGCACAAGGTCCTCCTGGATTTTGCGAATATTGTAACTATCAAGGTGCTGCCTCATACCAATCGCTTAGGGTAGCGGGAAATGAAAAAGGACCGTAGATACTCGTTTATTACTTAAATCAATCTTTTTCGTGATATATGTAGCAATAAGAATTTGTAGTTTTGTTGTAGTTAATTGTCATACCTCAAACTGCCTTAAACACTGCCATTAAACTGAATCGTACCAATAATTTAATTTCATAGGCAAATAAAGTAATTCATTACGTGTTTGTAATCGACCTAATTCGCTACTTTTAAAAATTAATGTCAATTTGTTTTTTTAGAGAGAGTTAAAGTTTCCAACCCCCCCCCCCCCAGAAGATATCAAATCGGTTGCACAGTTAGCATCAGATTACGGATTAATAAAAAGTCAGCAAAAACTGGATTGTGTGTTGGTCTCGGGAATGAGGGTGGAGTCAAGGGTTAATAACTCCTGTGGTTAATCATCCCTCCAGTTTGTCCCTAATTAGCAGTTAACCATAATTTCCCCGTTTTGAGCATTGCGAAAGGCCAGTCACGTAAACTGTAAATGACGTAGCTGCTTAGTAACACCGGACGGGGTAGGCAACCCGTACTTAAAGGGCTTAGATTATACCGCACCCAGAGTACCTATAAAAACTATGTGATTTGATTACTTACCTTTCTGGCTAATTATGCAAGTTTGGAGCAGAAATACTAAAAAAATCAAAGAAATATAGAAATCCGGCTGTTAGCGTCTAAGTGAGTAGGCAACCCCTACACATACGAGCTTACCTGCGCACCAGTAGTTGACCCCAAATATTTTAAACCTGTTTTCGCAACCATGGAGCTTAGCAGAGTGAAAAAAAGTGATCCAGTCGTTATCAATCAACATTGGTGTGGGCAACCCCTTCCGTACCAAAGGTTCAAGGGGCGAATGAGCGTATAGTGCCACGTCGCGTCGGAACTTCAAGATTTGATTTTATTTCTACACTACACTACACAACTTAACCAAACTGACACAAAATTTGGTGCATGTACATCAAAGCAATGTGTTACCTATGCCGTTTTCCTGATGAAATTGGTGTATATAAGTAAGGATTTCGCTTTATTGACTTAACCAAAACAGGAGTATGAAAGGAAGACTACAAAATCTAGTTCCTGTGCATCAAATAAATGTGTTTTACCATTTTCCCAACGAAATTAAAGTAAATAATTAAAAAGTGACAAAGAAAAAACATGCTTCACTAATGAGCGACCTATATCAAACGAGACATCAACGAGCTTCCCACGACTTTCCTGCGCTCAGACCTCGTCCCTTGAGTTTTTTTAAGTAAGGGCCCCAATGGAAACGAGGTCAATGGGTATCGACGCCTAGCGCCGCCACTGCCTATGTTCTAAAGATGCGACCGTATTTACAATAACCCTCTACTCTACTTTGTATAAATTGCCGATAGTAAACCATTACAATATATCGTAAAAATGAAGGACACGTAATGAAATAGTAAATCTGAGCCTGTTCGATAATTGATTAATCGAGCATAATTAGATACAAATAAAAAATCACGCAACGAACAGGTATCGCGCACGCCAATGTAGGCTGTGCGCGCCGGGCAGGTGCCAAGAAAATGGCTCTTGCGTGAAGGAAGATCTTAATTGTTTCTTCTTAACAATACATTTCTTAAACTCGTTATGAGATAAAAGTTATTTGTTTATCCTACATTTAAATAAATGCTGTAAGTTCAATTACCTCACTTTCATTTATAGCTGTAATTTTAATTAAGTAAACATCGACCAAATTAACAAGTAGTTGTCCTTTGGACAATTTAATTTTTACCACAAGACCAATTAAATTTTGCGAATTCATGCAATTGTGACGTTCCGCGTTTATTTTTAGAATTAATTACCAGCCTTAAACATAATTATGCCAACTTAAATAGGGACAGACAGCTCCCGCATTGAGAAAAATGCAGGGTCAAGAAGGCCTTCCGGGGTCTTCGGACCACAGACTCGCACTGGTGCACGAAATGAGCGCTCACAATTTCGATCTGATACGATTCGCCTCATACCGTACCGCTACCAAACTTCGATTTATACAGAAGAAAGTAAGCTGTAAGTATTCGTTTCGCATATGCGGATATAGGTGTATCATTGTAATTTCAGTGCACGCTGTCGATATATGGAATGTAATTGAAGCATTTCGCGAGCAGGGCTTACACGCTATGGATCCGACGAGTGAACTAAGCGTAGCCAGATTGGAGACACTCTTGTGTTCATTGTATCATAGTTTGAATAAACGTGCTCCGCCGACACAACAGACCCATGTTGATGTGTGTTCCAGCTTGCTGTTAAACTGGCTTTTAGCGGCGTATGCCACAGTGTAAGTGTGTGTTTGATTTGCCTCGATTGTAGAAAGTTGTATCAGAAATACTTTCAGGGATAATGTTGGCAAAATACGAGTGTTTTCGATTAAGGTAGCTCTGGCAACCCTGTGTGCTGGCAAGTTGATGGACAAGTTAAGATGTGAGTAATTGTGAGGGGCGATTCGCAAACTAAAGTCCTACAGTCTTTAAAAGTTTGTCTAAGTTATATGTGACTTCTGGTCAGGGCCACCTATAGAGGGTATGCCGGGTAAATGCTGCTAGGTCTGGCCTCGGGCAACTTTGACACCTGATTTTCAATTGTATATCTGAATTGTGAAGAATCTTTAAGACCTCATTACTACCTTTAAGGGTCTCTAAGAGCATTTAAGAATCATTAAAGGGTCGCCAGTAGTTTCTAATGCCTTCAAACTTTTATCAGTTGCCAAAGATTTCCAGTCTAAGAGATTTAAATGATCTCTAGAGAGTAAAAGAATAATTTGCAATCGCAGGGACGTGGTAATCAAATACCTATTTACGGGGTCTGGAATACAATTCCACGAAATCTGTGAGGAAATCGGTAGAAATGTTTGCCACATCATCATATAAAGATGCAGTGTGCCAATTATGGATGTTAATGTTAATAAATATTTACAGTTCAACATGTTATGGCCTTTTTCTTGTGTATTATGTTTCAACTTCGCTTTTTATATATTATGATCAGTGAGAATGTAGATTTGTTTTTTTTTTTAGTGAACAGGGTGTACCCAAGCCTGGTAGAGGACCTAGCATTCACACTTCCAAAACTAGCAAAGGCCCCTGGGGTCTTTCAAGAAATTTTTGAACTTTAGGAAGTCTCTCCATGTTACTGCAGAAGGTCTTCCATGATCCTATACAGGGTGGTGACTTGCGTCGCGCATCATAGGGATTTCAATGTAAAATTCATAACATGCCATTACGGGCTCCCCAAATTATGTTAGAGCAAAACTGTATTAAGGTTTTTTATAGACAACAATTTTTTACGTCAATCAACCGCGTTAGTTTCCAATTTTTGACATAATGAAGACAGAAAATTGGAAAAATAACCCCCGCATCTTTTTCAATAATCTGTGATGCCATGGAATTTTATAATACAAAAACTACAATATCCGTCATGCCATGGAATGTCTGCTATAAATCAAATCAAATTCTATCAAAAAGTATTATATTTAGAACAGCGAATTCAACATAAAGAAAGACCAAATTACTAAAAACGATTTCCTAATATAATAATTTACAATAAATGTTCGAATAAGTCACCATTAACTGCAAGACAGTAACCAAGTCGATCATAAAATCCATTTCGAACTGCTGCTAATTGATAACTGGACATCTTTTTGTTTTAGAAAATTCCATGGCATCGCAGATTATTGAAAAAGATGCGGGTTTTATTTTTCCAATTTTCCGTCTTTATTATGTAAAAAATTGAAAACTAATACGGTTTATTGACGTAAAAAATTTTTTCCTACAAAAAACCTTAATACATTTTTGCTCTAAAATAATTTGGGGAGCCAATAATCGCATGTTATGAATTTTACATTGAAATCCCTATGATGCGTGACGCAAGTCACCACCCTGTATACCTATGCTGAGCGATCTTAAGATCTTCGCAAACAGCTTAGCTGGCATGGCTCTATTGGAAAGCCTGCGAACCTCCTTACAACCTTTTCAAGGTCTAAGTTCCACAAAGGTGTTCTCTTCGTTCCTCCACAGGTCCGCAGTATACAGCTTACTAATGTGACCCCTCTTCCACTTGCCACGCTTTCCAACAGAGCAATGGTAATCATCTAACCACTCTGACAGTTTCGCCACATAGCTGCCCCAGGTAGTGGATCAGGAATTCTGAAACCTACAGGGCTTGCAGTGGGATGCCAGGTTTACTTGAAAGAGAATGTGCCTGTAGTCTGAAAGCGATGCCTCTCTCTCCAACTCTGATCATGTAAGTTATTGAAAAGGAGCCCAATGTCGATAATTTCCCTCCTTCGCGCCATGACAAGGGTAGGGGCTGCTCCCTGATTTAAAACATTCAAATCAGTTGTTTGCAAGTACTCCAAAAGGTGGTTGCCCCTCGAGTTCGTGGTCGTGCTGCCCCACACAACATAGTGTGCATTTGCAACACAGCCAACCACAAGAAGGAGCCCACTATTTTGACAATACTCTATCGTTGCTCCTTGGTAGTTGGAGCCTCTTCCGGAATCATCAGTTTTTACTCCAATACACATTTTATTGCTTAAGTGACTACATCTCGTTATCGAAATAAAAAGAAAACGCTTTCCGTAGTTATGTTGGCATGTTAGTATATCTGTAGATAATTTTATTTTTATTTATATTGTTTCATTATATTTATATTTACATTATGTTATATTGGTAATTTGTCAATCTTGTTAGTTGTTATTCTTTTCTATGTAATTTCTGCTGTTATAATTTATGACAAATATTGCACATACATCTCTGTACTGAATGTACTGGCAATATACAAATACAAATACATATGGGAGATAGGCTGAGCAGGCCACCAAGAGAGAGAGAGATCGTTTATTGAACCACTTTTGTGGTATAACATTGGAACAATTACAACTTAATATAAATGTATAAAGATAAAATGTAAATAGACTATAATATAGATTAAACAAACAACAACATAACAATATTAAATGTAAAGATAAAATGTAAATAGACAATGATATGAATTAAACAAACAACAACATAACAATATTAAATGTATATAAAAATTTTGATAAAAATTACAGTTAATAAATTGCGATATTTGTGAAGAAGTCTTCCAGTGAATATGGTGCCATTGTGTTAAGTATTTTCCGAATTTTATTTTTAAATGGGACGAACGCCGATATAGATTTGATATTGCTAGGGAGAGCATTGTAAAATCGTAGACCCATTTGTAGATGTGATGTGTCATACACTTTACTTTTGGAGGCGGTTATTGCAAAATTATTTTTTAATCTGGTATTATATTTGTGGTAATCGGAATTAAAGGAGAATAATGCCTTATTTTTAAGTGCTTGCTCCGTCCTCTGTTATCTTTCAGCTGAAGTCTTAGAGCTACAAGATCCCTCAAGTATGCCTCACTGACACCAAACGCGAGGAGGGCCCTACCAGGCTTCTCTCTGCGGAAGAACGTCCTCCATAGGCTCGTCCTGAAGCCAAGATTTATCCTCTGGTGGCCGTGTCATCCAGGCGCCCGTATAACACAGCCATCACCTTGGTTACCCTAGAGACATGCCTCTGAACTGTCAGAGACGTGCCATCCCACGGTCACCTCGGCACCTGCGAGTGCAACATCCCCCAAAGGAAAGGGGCCACCACTGCACTTGATCTAGGAAATGGTGACACATTGCTTTGATGGTCAAGAGCATATCCCCTGTGCATATTCAACGTAATATGTTTTGTTATTTCCTATAATTTTACTGTATTAATGAGGCACCTATCTATCAAATGAGGCATCAATAAGACCTCTATGACTAAACTGAGATCTCTGCCTTCACAATAGGAACAGTGCATCTACAAAGTCAGTTGCAATAATTAGAAATTCTAAGGACTTTTTTAGAATTGCATACTTTTTTGTGCAGATCGCCCCTCGATTTACTTTGAAATGATAATAGTGTGAGACGATTTCAGACATTTTCTCGCAAATATCCGATAGCAATGGACACTTATTACCATGGAGGTTTAAGGAATACCTTCAAGAAGTTCTTGCGCTTCCCGCTGCTGTGTATGAATCGCCGACATTTAATTATAGTGAAACTCTTTCTTCCAGCATTTTTAATCCTGTATGACTTTTAAAAGTCTCTTCATTTTGATTTCTACTAATTGTCGTTTTAGAATGTTAAGATAACTGTTAATGATTTCTTGGATACAATGATGTCAGATCCTGGACCTCCAGTTTTAGTTTGGCTCCCTCTTCTTCACCGTATTTCCTCAGTCGAGAATGGTATGGTAATTTACCTTATTTATTTTTGTATGCTTTGCTATATTTCGATCTTGCAGTTGTTCACCCGGTACAATGTGATGCCTGTCAAAGAGAAAATTTTACCGGATTCCGGTATAGATGTCAAAAATGCCCGCACTACGTGTTATGTCAAGATTGCTTCTGGAGAGGTCGAGTCACTACACCTCACACTCTTGATCATCAGGTGAAGGAATATGCCTCTTATGTACGTACCCGAAAATGTTTGTATATTACCATAATTAACATCATTTATAGTCGCCCAGTAAAACAATTGGCCACTCATTACGTAAATCTTTTCGTTGCGTTCCTGATAAACAGAAAAATAATCTACCTCGATTCCCTGAGCAGCCAGAGAAGACATTGAATCTGTCACATATTGTGTAAGTGAATATACCTTTTCAGTTAAAATTTTACCTTGGAAATGTGAGAAAAGTCCTCTTCTAGTGCATGTAAGATTAGAGCAGTTATTTCTAAAAAATTCACTTAAAAGTTAACTCTAACGGAACTGCCTCTGTAGAGAATGTAAACAAATTCCAGATTTTCGAAGAAGTAAATTAAAAGAAACCTAAGACATAAAAAAACAAAAGCAAAAACTTTTCTCTCGCGGGTTTCAATATCGAATTTTAACTTTTAAAAGTTATTTTAAGTTTGAATTCTCATCCACAGCCCACCTTCACCAATTCCATCACATAATGGATTTCCAGATGGTCCATTTAATTTTGATGGGATGGGTAGTTTAGATAGCCGTACAACTGCACGCAGGTAATTGTTAATAATAGTTTCCCGTTATTGCAATATTCACTTGTACAGAGTGGGTAAAGTAGATGGTTTTTTAGGAAAACTCATGATTCTGTCAATTTTCCTATGTTTCATATACCTACTGTAGATTTCTGGCCAATTTCTGTACTACCGTCATTCACAAAGGTATTTTGAAAGGCATTTGATGAAAATCCTGAGCTTATAAAAGAGCATTTAACAAGAACATCTATGAAAAATACAAGTGAGGTTGTTCATTAATAAATAACCTTTTGGGTTTTATGTACACAAAATAGTAGGGAAGATTTTACTTGTACCCACTCTCTCTCAGAATTCACAAGGAATTATTTTGTTGGAAGCTTTCACAAACGCACGTGGTTGAGAATAGGTATGCTGCCAAATCTATGCAATTTTTTAATGAATTTTGAATGAATGTACCAAAGGATACAAGATTTAAATACCTTTGACATTTCCTTCATACAACTACAAACTTTCCTATTCTTTAATAATTGGATTTTGCAGGTATCGCCTTTTGTTCTGCTCCGGCAACAAGCCACTGAATGGACGGTGTATTATCATTTTATTTACAAAGATTTTTATAAGCAAACGTCAAGTGACATTTCCATGGCATTCAAGGAATTACTAATAATCAGCCCACTTAATTAGAAATTTATTCTAGTATAACGTCAAATATGATTTCATTTTATGGCCCTTTTTAAATTATATAGGAGGTATAATAAAAAATACTATAAGAAACTCGTGTATAATAATTGGTCGTTGCGCGTGCTTTAAAGGGTTGATTATACACTTGTTTCTTAGTATTGTAACATAAATTTAATTACGTGGTTTTAGTTATGTAATTAACTAACAATAAATTTTTAACGGTCTTAAAATGAATTCATTTATAACAGTACTTACAATTTATCACTCACAATTCATAACATCACAAGAACGATTCGATGCAGGGACACAATTCGATTTGCTTTATGTAGGAAACTACATTCTTTCTAGCATGTTCTCGAATGCTCAAGGACGCTTCAGAATGTTCTCGATCAAACACATCATATTTCTAGGAAAGATTACGTCAAATCCGCCTTCGTGCTTTATTGCCAATGACTAATCTTTCATGGCGCCTCAAGGTCTATCGATATTTCTGGAATTTTTGTTACAATATACTATTTATATTTGACAGAAACATGGGTTTCATGCTCCTACCACTCTTTACAGGGTGATCTTAATAACGCTACATCTTAAAATTAGATCCTCTTTGCCTTTAATTGTCCTAATATAAGTTTGTTTTTTTTAGTCTTGACAGTGCAAGAGATGACGAGCACCGACTCATAGCACGTTATGCAGCAAAGTTGGCTCAAGAAGCAAGAACCGGAATGGTAAGATTAATAGTTTAACTGGTGCATTGTCTTTGCGCTGCCATAAATGTTATCTAACAGCATAAATTTATATGTGTGCTTTTGCTTCTGCTTTCTTCTCTAGCATCGAGGTGGTTATCGTAAGAGTTCTCTCTCTCCTGATTCGGTGAGTAGCTTAGCACCGTTAGCTCAGCTCTTTTGTACTAATCACTTACACGAAAGTATGTCAAATCATAATTACCTGCTCATTGTAGGGTCGAGTGCCTTCTGAAGCTTGTCTTGGTATGGACTCGACGAGAGCACAACGTGAGCTCATCAATCAGCTCGAAGCCAAAAACAGGGAAATAATGAGAGAAATTGCAAGATTGAGGTAAATTTTGAAATCAATTGCTTTTTTTTTAAAGATGAATTTCCAGACGCCAACAAGAAATAGAATCTAGCGGCCATGGTTCAGAGAACCCAGCGCTTATGTCCGAACTGCGTGCTTTGCGAATGAGAAAGGATGAACTGGAGGCTCATTTAACTACTCTTCAAGATTCACGCAGGCAGCTGATGATTCAACTTGAAGGACTTATGAAAATGTTAAAAGTACTTTGACCTTTTCATCATTGTCCATATTCTACTTGCATTATTTTGCAGAATCATCAATCTTCCCCGCGGAGTACGCCGAACTCGTCACCCCGCAGTACAAAATCGCCCCCACTACCTCCAGGTGCTCTTCCCAACCAACAACCATGCCCACGAAGTGCTCCCCAAACTCCTCTGGGAATGCCACCTTCGATTCAGCCTGTGGCGTTAAGCCAAGTCGAAAGAAACTCCCACATACAACACCCGTCTGGTATCATAGCGCAATCAATTGGCGGAATGGGTGGGGTCAATAGCATGGCAATGGATCGAAACGTTGATAGAGGCCTACATAATGTCAACACCGAGGCTTTAATGGGCGTGGGTGGTGACGTTCGAAACGCATTTGGTTAGTACATGACCTCCATTTCTTACCTTCATCATTTAATGCTTCAGGAGGAAATAACGGGAACGATACACCGGGATCAGTCGGACGCTCTCTAAGAAACGATCTTTTAGTCGCTGCCGATTCGGTTACGAATGCAATGTCTACGCTTGTTCGTGAATTAAATTCAGGTACGGAAAATTAAATGACTGAAAGCCACGATAGTATTAGCCAATATTGTAAAAAAGTAGAAGATTAAAAACCAATAAATATTAAAATGATTAAAGGTTCTAACATTTGTATAGTTAAACATTAAACTATGAACTAAATGCACATTTATGATAGCTAGGCAAAATTGCAGTTGTTTTTGGTTGTACAAAGGCAGTTCATGTTCTTTTGTCTCTTTGCTTATTGACTTCTTTTTAGACTGAGAATGAAATTTTCTCTAAAGCATGAGACTGTGTAATGTGTCTTAGCGTGATGTTTTATACAATTTTTACATTTTACACTTATTTTTTTATTATGTATTTATTTTCAACTTTATAAATCAGTATGCGAATGTTTTTATTACATTGCGTTTCACTTAGTGTGAAATACTTTAGTATTGTTATTAATAAGAAATGACAGGACGAATGTGAGTTCGAGTTGTGATTGTTACTTAATTATATACTCAAATCTTTTATTTTGCATATTTTTAGTTGTGCTGTTGTTATTTATTTTTATTTCTAGTAAATTTATTTATTCTTTGTTTATGTTTTTATTTTAATTTTACAATGAATACACAAACATACTAGGCTCTCCTATAAATTTAGCTCGCCCGTTTATATTTGTAGAAAAAATTTCTACCACAGTTGGAATTTTTGTTTCAATAAAAAGTGGCTTTCTTTAGCATACTGATAGTAGGTACTACACGTGCACCCTCTCTGCCCATACCAAGAATTGAAATGTTCGTGAATCAATACAATAAGCACACTAACTAACAATGAGTGCGTGAGGAGATAATTGATTCTTTTTATGGAGAGCACGGAAAGACATAATATTTGAAAAGAAAGTTTTTCATTGTCAAAATAATGTGGATCTAATTAGTCAATATGCTGAATCACAGAGAGATGACAGACAGTTCAAGGCAGATTGGCCTAGGCCTAGCGTGAAAGAAGCCTTTATTATTATGAGGGAATAGTATATTTCATTAGGAGTCCGGAAAACAGGCTTTTTCCGTACGCGCGTGGCAGATTCCCGTGTGAGGCAAGCACGGAAATAGTTATTTACATTATTAGTGCGGGAACAGTTATTTTGCAGATGTGCGCGAAGTTTGGCGGCGCGAGTGGGCAACGCGCACGAGCGACGCATCTCGCGCGAATCAAGCAAATACTGTTCACGCACGTAACATGTATTCTATTTTTTGCACGGATTAGTTAAATCGAATTTATATAAATTCAAATCCTTTTCGCGAGATTTTTGCGACATTATAATTCTTTTGAAAAAATCAAGTCCTCTATGCCGATAAAGTAGAAATCTAGAAATTTAAAATGTCAATTTATTGTTCAAAACTTCTGGTTGAAGCTTATTTTTGCCCCTGTACTACAGGGAATGATGTAAAGTGTATTTATATTTTCTTTTTTACTCTTCCATCCTACTACTTATTAGTTTATGATCCGCACTAAATAGATAATTTCGTTGAATTTTCAGGCACTAGTGCGCGAAAGTAGATTGTCAATTGTAAAATTGACGTTCCAGACTTTCGTGATTTATTGAGAAAACGCGATTTAGAACGAAGGAGTGCAAAAAAGCATTTCTGGACGTGTAATGAACGATATTTTTTATTATACTTCTTTTAAATCGATAACAAAAAACAACAAACTCGCTAACTTTTTTATTTTGTAACAGTTATAGAACATGCGTTTTCATGGTAACTCTCAAATCATTTCAAAGGCGATTTGTTTAATTAGTTTATTTCAGATAAGGTTGACGAAACGTCAAAAAATGTCACAAATTCTTTTATCTAAATATTCAAACATCTACGAATTAAAACGCAAAATACTTACATATTAAACATTACAACGCATAGGTATAGATTTTCTGAAAATTAGTTTACTTCCCTGTAAATTTGTATTTTAAAGCAATATTTTGGGTATTTATATTCAGCGCACGGAAAGAATCAAAGGGATCGGGAAAAGTATTTCCGTGCGCTAGCCTGGAAAAGACTAGATACCATTATTTCTAATACAGGTGATTTCAATGAAGTATAATAAAAAAATGTTTTCTCCAAGCTGGCGTAGGTACTTAGATAGTAACCATGGCAATAGAATCAACAACATTAGGTACGAAAAATTAAGCAGCTTACTTTAAAGTAGTGTATAAAGGACATTGTTATTGACAATTGACTTTATAAGAAACAATGAATTTTATAGATAACTTTACAAATGAATCTTATAAGCGGTTTAAAATGTCAGTGTTGTAAAAAGTATATTATGTATCAAGTTTTATAAACGACACTTGCGACACGAGTGTCGAAAGAAGTTTATGAAACGTGGTACATACTATACTTCTTCTACGAGAATTCTGTTGCCGCTTGCGTTATTTCAGAAGGAGCAGAAATTCAAGCCTGAAACTTCGGGCCTGTAATAATGGCCGAAAACACCCGAACGGGCACCAATCTGTATCTAATGAGTAGTCGTATTTAAAATAATATGTCAGTGCAATGTGGCATTTTAGAGACGGGAGTAGAAAAAAACATTTAAAGCGCCATTGACAGGGTATGTGCACAGTTAGCTACGATCTCTGATTCGTTCAAACGCTACGTCGCCTTTCCCCGTGCGCCCCGCGAAGGTCCAAGTTGTAAAGTATAGCAAGAGCACACTCTCATTGTGAACCAGTATTCGCCGGACTACGAAGTAGGGCTTTTTGCCCGTGGCCTCATTTTTAAATTGTGCACTCCCAAGACACACCACTACGCGCCGCCACTGAACGTCATGCACTATTTTTAGCGCATCTTTGGAAAAAAATACGCTATTCGTTATGGCTGGCTGTCCGACGATTAAGATCTTGATCACTTTAAGTAAGTTCTCCTCGTCCTCGGTGAATGATATCGACTTTTTTCACGATCCCCTAAATGCAATAATAAATCAAATTAGATCTTAAGTCCTAATGTTTGTTCAGAGTCCCAGTACCATGTAATTGGAATTTTTATTCTGTATGGTGTCTGGTTAAACAAATAAATAAATAAACATTGGAACAACTAATACTTTCTCGCTGAAATGCGTCGAAATAGCATAAATAGGCTTGCCTCATGCTATTATCATCTAAATATAATAATAATAATAATAATCCGATGCTTGTTTTGATCACTTACTTACCATTGTGATAAGATGTCAAAATGATACAGTTCGACAAAAAATGATAAATCAATAACTTTTGGCATTCCACTTTTGTTAAATATTTTGTAAATACCTTCTTCTCTAATCCTTATGCCCTTTCAGGCGTCGGATTTTTAAAATAACAATAAATAAAAATTTGTAATTTGGCGCACATGTGTAACTTGATATCCTTAAGAATACGCAATCAAAAATTACGGTTGCCATTTAAAAAAATTGATGACTTCATATCTCAAATTTGGGATACCCTGTATAAAAATTATTTACGCCAAAAAGACCGCAGTTTAATATACTAATCAACGTATCCGAGCGTATTTCTGAAACAACAATTGATTTCTGACTCCATTCCAAGTTAGAGACCCATTCTGTATAACAATGTAAATGTATAGAATTATGGCCAAAAATTTATGGGATAGCCTGGTAACACCATGCAATTTACATACACTACGCTATTCTACAGATCAGAGAAAAGTTAGATTAGTTGTAGTGTCTGTATGTGGAATGCTGCCTGTTGAATGATTGTTCTTGCAGAATCCTCATCTTTCTCTGAAGCTAGTGGTATCCGAAAACCACTCGGTAAGTACCTCGCTAACTGCTGTCCAATTAATTTTCTGAAATGTGCGCTTTATATGTTTTCATTTCATTTAAACGTAAACGTCCAAATGATGGTTCTTCAGAAATTTTTACAAGCATGTATTGATGCAAAATAGTTACAATTCCCCCCTTACCCGAATTATAGCTGGGGTTGAAATAATAGGTACTTAATTGTAAAAGAGTCTCTTTTCCCATTGAAGTTTCATGTTTTGTTTCAGAATGATACACTACTACTTTGATTGAAAACTTATCAATACACTCTTGTATAAATCCACAATGAGATCTCTTACCGTCAAAGAAATAGATGCCATTTCAGCTAACGTTCTTAACCTTACTTACCCAAATTATCGAAGTAGAATATGTGTCCCCACCGTGAAAATATTGTACCTACTTCTAACACAACTTATGCTTACTTCTCGAACAGAGCAGAGAATATGTAGACAGTTTCATTTGTACATCATGAACAGGTTGAACTGTTATTTGGCGGCCTCAACAAAATTTCAGAGTTACAGTACTATTTTATAAAGCACGTGAGCTACTATGTTCGGATGTAAAGATTGCAGTGCTATACAAATGAAACTGTATGCAAGTTTGAGCATGTGTCATTGCGTCATTTTTTTAAGTTTGTCGCATGTTCTGCCTTCGTGGTGTTAAATATTGACATATTGTAATCAGCTAACGCAAAAAATGTCTAACCAGATTTTGAAGACGATGGGGAAGAGGAGTCGGAAGGAGGCTGGCAACAGGAACTCCAAAGGCGTTACGCTCAAGAAGCAAGCTTTATGGCAGAATTAAGAGCGCGGCATCCGACAAGTCCTCCGGAAATAACACAAAACAATCAGGGTTACGTAATGGGTCAAAATTTTAATCATAATAGTTTGGGGCAATTAAATTCGAATCATTCTTCGGGGCAACAAAATTACATCGAACAAAACCCGGGCCTTTTCGGATCGCAGGTGGGTTCACCGTACTTGTAATTCCAATGCACAATTGCACACAGCAAGCACCATTTTTAGCAGGGCTTATATAGAAGTTTTATAGCCTAGCGCGATCATTTGCACAAATCCTCATTTTGACGGTTTAAAAGCACGCTTTTATTTTTCACTTTTAGTATATTGTTTAGTGAGAACGTTAGTTTTTAACTGTTTGGCTTATTTTTAAGCCTCAGCAGCATGGTGAACAATCTGTAAATACAAAAGAAAGTGAAGGTGATGTTAGTAATGCAACAGAAGCAACTGAAGAAGTACAAAGTGAGAATAAGTCGAAGGAGATGCTTGAATGGGAGGAAGCTGTCAAAAGATGGATTAATCGTTAGGACTAGTAAATGTAAACAGACTGGTGAAACATAAGCTCCTCTCTGGAAAGGGGTTGGCGAATGCGTGAACTTCGGTGATTGGTATGCACGTAATAAACAAAGGGTCACATTTCTATAAGTACCTATTTTATTTGTCACGTTTCTTTTTGTAATCAGTACTTCCATTTAAAATGTAACGGTCTTGCATAAACCGATGACCTGCCTTAAAATGTCAAGTTCGTAATTCAGGGCCATAGCTACATTTTTTTTAAGATAAATCGCCATTTATAACTGAATGTACTTCTACCCAAAATGTCTTCCCTTTAGTTAAGTAACATAAACGCAAAGTGTATACAAACATCACACCTAACCAGCAGTTTTTTTGTGTCCAAGTCAATTTCCATTACAACGCCTCAAATAAATCTTGGTTATGGCTCCGCATGTTATCATAATGTATCTAATATGGAATAGCGCCCAAAAAAATTGTTGTACATGCCTTTATCGTTCAAATTTTCTGTTTCTTTATAATACTTTATTATAATGAAATAAAATGTGTGAATTAAAAGAATTGGTACACATCGAATCAGTAGGTAATGAGTGTTGATTATTAACCTTGTCAATAATAAATAGTAGGTAAGATTTCAGACTACAAGTAAAATTTGGCTGTTATTTGAAAAATGCCTAAATATGAAGCTTTGTGTAGATTTTGATATATCACAAAAAACCTGGTTGTGCTTAACTCTTTCTCTCTCTCTTCTCTCTCTCTGAAATAATCAAACTATGTAAGTGCGAATGTATAAACAAGTACTTGCATAAGTAACATTGTACATTCCATCATTTTTATTTTATTTTCGAGACCAAATGCAGTCGTAAGTTAATCTTTAAATTACTAATGTATTGTTCATGTACTTATCATTAACGATGTATACTCTTAACTACTAATGTACATATACAAAACGTAAAGGTAGGTGTTAAAATGACAACTCAATGAAAAAACTTGTAGTTCCTTGTAATGTCTGTCAATAGCTACGTTTTGTTTCAGTTAAACATTGTAAAGTAACTTATTTCCTTTGTAAAGAATCAAACAATTTAATTGTTTAAACTCTCTAATTCTTGTTAATTGCATATATGACTTATACAGATGATCTTATAATATAAAGACCAATACTCTGTAGTGTTATGAATTCGTATTGTTTACTTATAGTTATTATAAAACGTACAATAAAAATGTTGATATACTATTAGTTAACGTTTTTGTCTTAACTCACAACACAAAATAGCAAAAGGCTTGTAGATCGAGTTGCATTCAGGACATAACTACAATCAAAAGCTACTACAATGTATGGAAACAAATTTTTAATACAAAAAATGCCGTTAAGGGTGTCTACTAATGCGAAATTTGAGCTTAAAATTTGCCTAATTTAAAGGCAGCAACGTGCCTTAGCAAGTTTCTCAAAGAGATAATCATCCTTTCGTCACTCAATGGAGATGTGAGATGATTAGAACTGTTTGTGTTCCATACAGTTGGAAATGTATTTTGGGTGTCAAATCGAATGACCCTTTAGGATCACGCCCCTCTGTCTCTGTCAAACGCTTGAACCTATTCGGTTCAAACTTTGCACAGTTGACCTATATGCCACATGTAGATAAATTCAACGCTAATTTATTTAATATATTGTAATACACAGGGTAATTTATCAAGCGGTAGTCGGCGGTAGAAAACGGCGGTGAATGTAGGATGTAGAAAGCATACAGGGAACGAACCAGACGAAATCTCGGGTCTGGTCGTTTTCGGTAGCAAATGGTGCCGGTTACTTCGGCAATCCTAAAACAAAGTATGGGCTTACGGCCCTGGCGGTAATTTCCCTTAATTAATAACGGTTGGCTATTGAAGCGGCACAACGGTACAAAACTAAGTAAAAGAAACGGTACGTTAGTCTTGAAGGCCAAAACTAAATAAAACGGTACAGATTAACTTACGATAAAAGTCCAGAACATCTGGCAATCGATTCGGAACTTGTTCTATCTTTGCTTTTACTTATTATGGGGAACTAAAACGGCCTATAAACACTTAACTGCGCTGAAATCAAAAAATATTAATTGTCCTTCATCTTCTCCAGGACAAAACCCTTCGGTGGTTACAAAAATAATTCCAACATGAACGGTCGTAGACGGACTAATTAACTACGGTATCTCCTCGGTATCGCGGAAAATTCTCGAAATTACCGTAAAGCCCAAACCAATTGTTACTATACACGGTGGTCCTCGTAAACGGCAAACTCAGCTCAAAAATTCCGGGTGCTTCGTTACAAATGTCCCTTCGATCTCACACACGAGGACACTACTTACATTTCAAACTGACCCACTTTGTATCGAGCACAATTGATTACAATTATTGAATTATTGCCGATTCCATATCTGCAGAAAAACGTGTGTGCTAAAGTTAGGATGACATTTGAGTGAAGGTGCTGTCGGCTAGCGTAGATCTTGGAAGGATCGACACAATCCAATAAGGATCTGGAAAACTAACTATACCTGAATAGCCAGATGAGAAAGCGAAAAACGGTATACACAATGATAATAATTTATTTATTAGTCCGAATGATCGCTTATTGGATATAGGACTCGTCGATTACAATGTGTGGTAACAGTAATAACAAGATAAAATGTACCTATATCGTAAACTATTAAAATCTAACATCACATAAATACACAAAAATAAATATAATAACAATGAATATGTAAATAACCAACAAATGTACAGTAATAAAATATCACAGTCAAAGATCAAAGTTGTAAGTAGAATACAATACTATAATGACTAGAGCTAAGGAGAAAATGGAGTATTTAAATATTCATCTACACAATAAAAACAATGACTTAGTATATGTTTCCTTACACGATTTTTAAAACAATAAAATGTCGAGTCCCTGACATTACTAGGGAGAATATTATAAAGTTTCACTTGATAGTAATGTTTTTTAGACTTGGAAAGTCTGAAGTAAGGAGTTCGCATATCGTTAGCCTTTCTAGTGTTGTATTTATGAGTGCTGCCATTTGTCAGTACCGAGGATTGCTTTTTGTGTAATTCTAGAAGTGCACAATAAATGAATATAGATGGAAGAGGCATGATTTGAAATTTACAAAAAATACTTTGACCGTGTTCTCTATAATGTTCATTGGCTAACATCTTGACGAATTTCTTTTGCATTGAAAACACTTTTTTTGCTTTAGAGGAATTACTTATAGGTTAACACCATACATTAAATGAGAGTGAAATAGTGCAAAATAACATGCCTGAAGGGTGGTGGTGTTAATACATTTTTTTAAGTTCCTTAGAACAAACGTGGCCTTTGCTAATTTACTAACTAGGTAATCAATGTGATTGGTCCAATTTAAACGGTCGTCTACATAAATTCCTAGATCTTTAGCGCATTTTCCTGATGTAAACTTGGGGTTAGAAGAAAACGTAATTACTTGAGTTTTTTCTTTATTTAGTTTTAAATTATGGTGCGCAAACCAATCATGAGCAAGTTGCAACGAATTATGGCTCTTGGTGGTTAGTATCTTGTGGTCTTTATCAGTGACTATTAAAGATGTGTCGTCAGCATAAGCAATGCATTCGTTAGGTTGAATATATTCAAAAAAGTCATTTATATAAATGATGAAAAGTAGGGGCCCTAAAATTGAACCTTGCGGTACACCTTGTTGTGTGGTTAGCAATTTGGAATAGGTACCATTAGCCACAACACATTGCTTTCTGTCCTGAAGGTATGATGAGAAAAAAGTTTTTGCAAGGCCTCTAATACCATACATTTCTAATTTATGAAGTAAAATATTGAAAGAAACACAGTCAAAAGCTTTGGACAAGTCGCATAATATTTTATTAAAGATGCATGTTCACCCTTTTCAAAAGAGTTAATTATAATAGATATGATTTTGGAAACTGCTTGAGTGGTAGAGCAGCTTTTACGGAAACCATATTGAGCGGGACTTAATAGTGTATGATTGTTAAAGTAGAAGTTAAAGTGGAAGTTTGCACTTGCCAAAGAAACCAATAAAATCTATTTGCACGTCCCAATACAAAATTAAAATCGTACTTTCAACATTCCTCATTGATTATGTTGGCCTTCCTCCCTAATTATTAACCCGTAACCCCTCAACATAGTTTCTTGGCTGGTGACAACAATGCGTACACATCTTGCAAGTAGGTATACGCGGACTCATAACACAAAAATGCTAACTATGTAGTACGTGTATCGATTTGGTTTGGATGCCTTTCGTAACGTACTTCCGTAATATCGGAAACTACATTCCTCGGAAATTCGATGCAAGCGAACCACACGCTCATATATTATGTATTAAGATGCGCGTACACAGATCGGTATATTAAAATGTAAATCACAAGGCAATTTTGCTTGGTACACTTTCAATTTAAAAGTGTCATGGCTACATTTCCACAATGGACTTCGCTAGAAGTAAATACCCACCAGTGACGGTTCAAATTCATTAATTAAATTACAGTTGCTGATATTGAGTGATATTAAGATAATTTCCACTTCAGTAAGCTATAAAACAATCCCTAAATAGCAAATCGATAATGAAACACTTCATAACACCATTTATCCCTACGTGTTTTGAATAAAGCCACTTTAATTACTTAAATGAATACGAAACTTAATCTACTACCAAGTCCAATAATATTCGTCGTCCATAAATTGCTTAAGCCCATTATACCTTGGCGTTTTCCTTCATACCATAGAAAATAAATTTTCAAAACTTCCATTCTTATCGGAGTATTAATTTACCTCATTTTTCTAGTTGTTTGTATGTAGTTTATGTAGTTGTATATAGTTTGTTGTATGCTGTTTCATAAATTATACCGGGTAATCAGGTAGTCACGCAGAAGTCGCCGAGATGTGCTTTCATTATTCAAGCGTTATATCTAGCAATATTTTAACAATGAATATTTTAAATAACTGCGCTACAACGATAAATTTATCTAAGTTACGAAGACAATTATTTTTTTACAATACTTCATTTGCCTCAGAAACTCGGGATTTATTTTATCAGTTGCCCTATCAATGTAAATTGGCAACACTAATAACAAACGAATACTTTGTCATGCATTATATACGAAAATAATTTGAAGAGTTCAGACACACGGATATAGGAGGAATGCATTTTTTCCTTTTGATATAAGTAGTAATTGTTTACCGTTTATATTAATTTGTTTAAAATGTTTAGCTAGTAGCTTGTAAAGGTAGTTAAAAGGTTATTCTTTAATAATAGAGAGAACGAGTTAATAATAGCTGTTATACTAAACAGGCTTTTATTAATTCATTAACATCGAATTATCTCTAAGTCTTGTAAAAAGCAAAGTTTTTGTAACTTTTATAATATAACTCTGTAGGATATTTTAATGTGTAGGAGTCGCTTTTCGTCGTATTTTCGATAATCAAGTATAAGAAAACCGACATCAAGTTTCCTCCAAGACTTTGATAAAGTATACGTGCTGTTCGACTATTTACGAATCAAATCTTACTTATGCCTGAAGTTAATTACAGAACATGTGTATCGCAAAATTGTTTTCGAGGAATCCAAATTATTTTTTTGGTCCTGTTACTCAACTTGTAATAAATATGGTAGCAGATGGTAGATAAAAAACAGCAATAAGTCGTGAGTAAGTTTTCTATTGGCGATCGATTTCGACGATTATCATTGTCATCTTCAGACCATGCTACAAGTTATATAGTGAATTTTTTTAAATAATTTTACAGTCAAATTACCTTATTTATCTGAATTGTTTAAATTTTTTTCATTATTAATTGCCCTGCGATACTCCTTTTTAAAAACCTTGTAAACAGTGTGTGTGTGACCTCTATGGTCTGACAAACAAGGGTCAGTTACGCCAGATTGAACTGAATGCAAATAGTTATCTGGAAAATTCCAAAGAATGTTATCAAGGCAGGTAGCTGAGTTAGCGGTCACTCCAAGCTCGCGTTTGGTTTGAAAAAATTTGAAATGTCACGACATTAGGTCACGGAGCATTATTCCTATGCCTGTGCCTTGACTGTCACCCAAAATCAAGATTTTACTTTGTTGTTTAGATGATGGAGGAGCGTTATTCGATGATCGTC